ATATCCAACCCATAGAACTGTCTCTGACCTGTGTTGTCGAAGGCTTTCATGTCCAGATTCACTGAGTTGCTGTACGTTTCCCGGGCTGCATGCCCATGTACCAGGCATTTTGTCCACATCTATGGCAGGCATCCTCACAACTTCTCTGTCCAAGATGAGTGAGAATTTTGCAATTCCCCCAGGCAGGAAGCACCCAGACTTTGAAGCTGCAAGGCTGTTCAATGCTAATCAAGGGGGCCAATTGCAACATCCACACTTGCCTCAGGCACACAAAAGTTCTTTCTCCCACCCTGAACATTTCACAGATATCTAAACCCCACTTCTTGCCTAGTTTCCAACAGACCTCACAACCTTTGAGGATGCCTGCCATAAATGTTTGTGTGTGTGTGTTTTGTTTTTTTTCATGTCAGGAGTGACTTGAGAAACTGCAAGTTGCTTCTGGTGTGAGAAAATTGACTGTCTGCAAGGACGTTCCCCAAGGGATGCCTGGATGTTTTGATGTTTTGACCATCCATGTGGAAGGCTTCTCTCGTGTCCCCGCATGTGGAGCTGGAGCTGATCATCCGCGCTCTCCTCGGATTTGAACCTGTGACCTGTCGCTCTTCAGTCCTGCCAGCACAAGGATTTAACCCACTGCGCCATCAGGAGCTCCCATAGATGTTATTTATTTATGTATTTATTTATTTATTTCAAAGTTTTCTATACCGACCTTCTCAACCTCATTGAGGGACTCAGCCCGGTTTCCAACCATAAAAACACATACAATCATTAAAATATCATAGTTCACAATTACAGTAACACATTTAAAATAACAATATATTTAAAACTACAGTGGTCAGTCGTCATATTAAAATCAAATATACATCATCTTCCATCCAAAATCCTAGGGTGTTGTCTCATTCATCGAAAGCCTGTCTCCACAACCACGTCTTCACCTGTTTCCTAAATGTCAGGATAGACAGGGCGGTTCTGACCTCCGGTGGGAGAGAGTTCCAGAGTCGAGGGGCCACCACCGAGAAGGCCCTGTCCCTCGTCCCCACCAGACGCGCTTGCGAGGCCGGTGGGACCGAGAGCAGGGCCTCTCCAGACGATCTTAATAATCTTGATGGTTCATAGGGGAGAATACGTTCGGAGAGGTAAACAGGGCCGGAGTCGTTTAGGGCTTTATAGGTTAGCACCAGTGAAATGTCAGGAGAGAATGCTTCTGGAGCATGGCCATACAGCCCAGAAAACTCACAGCAACTCAGTCTCTGACCTCTTTGTCACGGTGCAATTGCCAGATGTCCTTACACCACATGTAGCTTATTGACTTCATGGTAGAGAAAATGGTATTGCCCGAGGCAAACCTGGACTGACCTTTCAAAAGCCCAAGATGTCATTGGTTTGGCATGCTCTATCTTTTCCTATTACAGGGCACCACAGTTCAATCAGGATGTTGACAAGCTGCAACGTGTCCAAGATAACTAACACTCTGGAAATCAATTCTAATTAATAAGGAATAACTTCAGGAGATGGGTATGTTTAGCTTGGAGAAGGGAAGACAGACAGGTGACATGATCGTTGTCTTTAAATATGTGTAAGGAATTATGGAGAAGATGGAGCGTGCTTGTTTCCTCTTGTCAAGAAAAGTAGACCCTAATCCAGTGGTTTCCAACCTTTTTTTGACCAGGGGCCACTTGACCAGGGACCACTTTGACCAGCGACCACTCTCCAACATTAGTACCAAAAGGGTTACAAATCAGTTTTTGGTCAACTTTAGATTCAGTTTGGTTATTTGGGCTGCTGATTCAGAAAATTGCATTGGATAGACCACATCAGCTCTAGTTTCTGATACAGAACATATGCCACCCAGTTGTCACCATCTGCTCACCCATAGAAAACCATATTTAATCATCTAGAGCTGATGGGTGGTGTGTACTCCTCTTCTTAGGAGAAGGAGGTAGAACAGGAGGCTGAAGATGTAGGAGTTGGGGATTTGGGGCCAAGTGTTGAGGAGGAAGAAGCGGGCGAGGAAAACATACTGCTGGCTCCTATTTATTTTTATTATTTACTTCATTTCTAGCCTACCTTTCTTGACAGTGGAGGGGACTCAAGGCGGTTACATTTCAGGAACGCCGAAGAGCAAAACAAGAAAGGAGAAGGTAAGCTCGAATGCTGAGTAATCAGACCTCATCCTAGGAACGCCTGTGCTGAGAGCTGCGGGCTATAAATCAGCAGTAAAGCAAGTGGTAAATGCTGGTAGCAACAGTTCTACTTAGTACTTCTGTGCTCCAGAAACTGCTTGCTTGCAGCTGCAGCGTCTGCAAAGGGCCACACAAAGACTATTTGCCAAAGACTCTTGTTTCATGTTTGACGTTAAGACTTCTGCTTTGCTTTTGGAATTTACCTTCTGTTCCTTTTGCTGCTGTTTTTTACATTATTATCATTTTGCTGAAGTAAAGTATTTTTAGTTGCTTAACCCTTGTAAGGCTGTTTCTAAAGCAAAACAGGACCATGTGGTCTAGCCAACACAACTTTCTGATTTTTATTTATTTATTTTGTCGTGTCAGGAGCGACTTGAGAAACTGCAAGTCGCTTCTGGTGTGAGTGAATTGGCCATCTGCAAGGACGTTGCCTAGGGGACACTCAGATGATTTGATGTTTTTATCATCCTTGGGAGGCTTCTCTCATGTCCCCGCATGAGAAGCTGGAGCTGATAGAGGGAGCTCATCCGCCTCTCCCTGAGTTTGAACCTGTGACCTGTCGGTCTTCAGTCCTGCCGGCACAGGGGTTTAACCCTCTGTGCCACTGGGGTCTCCAATTTTCTGAATCAGCACCCCAAATAACCTCAGAAACAGGCCTAAACACAAAGACACCAAGATGCCCCTACTTCCACTCAGGAGGGAGGAGAAGCAGCAGCAGCCAGGAGGCTTGTTGTCGCACCTTTCGTGGGTAGTCAGAAGCATGTAGGCGAGGGGGGGGGGGTGGTGGCTTGAATGGCTTTATTATCTCTATATATAAAAATGCTCATGTCGTAATGAGTGGCTTAAAAACAAAAGAACCGCTGGGCCAATACCCACCAAGCAATAAACAATACACCAAGACACAATAAAACTGGGCTGGGCCATAATCTGTACCCATTTAATAAAGGGTACAGATTAAAAGTGCTGATGTGACCAGTGGTATATGGGATTTTAGGGTAGGTGCAGTGTGCCAGCAATCTTAATTTCTACTAAAGTGCTTCTGGGACTTGTTATTGGAGTTTCCTATTCTGGAAAGGCACATCGGAACAGCCAGGTCTTCAAGTTCTTCCTAAAGACTGCCAGGTAGGGCCTGTCTAAGATCTTTGGGGAGGGTGTTCCAGAGTCGGGGGGCCACCACAGAAAAGGCCCTGTCTTCGTCCCCACCAAACGCGCCTGCGACGCAGGCGGGATCACGAGCAGGGCCTCTCCAGATGACCGAAGTGAACGCGTGGGTTCGTAGACGGAGATGTGGTCACGCAGGTAGGCTTCAGCCCCCCCCCCCCCGAAATTCTCATGGTGGTCCGTGAGAAGACCTTACTGGTGCATTATTTAAACTGTTATGTTTATTCATATCATGATCTGATCACCATGCTCAATATATCCCATATGCATGGGGGTATTGGGGTAACGATACAAAAGGTTTGCTAGGGTAGACCCTCTTTCACTCAGACTCAGCCCCCCCCCCCCGAATCAAACTCAGCCCCTCCCAAATCAAAATCCTGGCTACAGGCCTGATAGTCAGCCTCTCCCCTCCCAACATCCCCATTGCCTCAGTGCTATAAGAGGATTTTGCAAGACCAATCACTCTCGTTGCAATGGTGTAGTACCATTGAGGCCGCTGACCATATTTTCATTCATGCAGACCACGGGTGCTCCATACACCACAGTTTGGGAACCTCTGTCCTAACTCACCTTGTCTCCTGTGCTATGTTTATAATATAATATATTGTATATGCATATATTTATAATATTATAATGTAATGCAATATAATACTAATAATAATATATTATAATTATATATTTATATTACATGTAATATTACTAATAATATTACAATATAATGGTATAGTACAGTGTTTCTCAACCTGGGGGTCAGGACCTCTGGGGGGGGGGTCACAAGGGGGTGTCAGAGGGGTCACCAAACACCATCAGAAAACGCAGTATTTTCTTTGGTCATAGGGTTCTGTGTAGTATTTTTTGTTGGTCATGGTTCAGAATGCTCTTTGATTGTAGGTGAACTATAAATCCCAGCAACTACAACTCCCAAATGTCAAGGTCTATTTTCCCAAATCCACCAGTGTTCACATTTGGGCATATTGAGTATTTGTGCCAAGTTTGGTCCAGATCCATCATTGTTTGAGTCCACAGTGCTCTCTGGATGTAGGTGAACTACAACTCCAAAACTCAAGGTCAATGCCCACCAAACCCTTCCAGTATTTTCTATTGATCATGGGAGTTCTGTGTGCCAAATTTAGTTCAATTCCATCATTGGTGAAGTTCTGAATGCTCTTTATTGTAGGTGAACTATAAACACCCCAGCAACTACAACTCCCAAATGACAAAATCATCCCCACTCCCACCCCACCATTATTCAAATTTGGGCGTATTGGGTATTTGTGCCAAATTTGGTCCAGTGAATACATCCTGCAAATCATTTTGATTCATAACAGTACCAAAATGATGGTTATGAAGTAGCAACGAAAATAATTTTATGGTTGGGGGGTCACCACTACATGAGGAACTGTATTAAGGGGTCATGGCGTTAGGAAGGTTGAGAAACACTGGTATAGTACAATATAGTAATATTTAATGCTGATATTGTACTATGCTAATAATAAAATATATATTGTGTGTGTGTGTCTGTGTGTGTGTGTGTCTTGTGAGCCTCTCTAAGTCCCCTTTGGGGTGAGAAGGGCAGCATATAATGTTATAAATAAAATAAATAAATACTCCAAGGAATCATATTACAGTGCAAAAAAAAAAAGACATGAAACCAAATATTTTTAAAGAGTTGTTTTAATACTGCAAATCTTTACTGAGCACTGCGCCTTTGCTGCGAAGCCACAGTCACCACCATCAGGACATCCTATAGCGTTTATTTCTTTGCCCGGGGTTAATTGCTTCCAAATCTCAGACAACACCCCTACAAACACCTGTCTTACTAGGCTTGCCTTACTGAAAGCCATGTGTGTACATCCCGACCCCCAAACAAACAAACACCTTCCAAAGGGGATTCCGCAATGGTTGGAATCTAAGCTTGGGCACCCTTTTTGTGCATATCTGTGGACCAGCTGGAGATTTCTGGGAGTTGCAATCCAAAGAAGTAATATGCTGTTGAAGGCTTTCATGACCAGAATCACTGTTGCTGTGAGTTTCCCAGATTGTATGGCCATGTTCCAGAAGCATTCTCTCCTGACGTTTCACCCACATCTATGGCAGGCTTCCTCAGAGGCTGTGAGGTCTGTTGGAAACTAGGCAAGAAGTGAGGTTTATGTTTCTGTGGAATGTTCAGGGTGGGAGAAAGAACTCTTGTCTGCCTGAGGAAAGTGTGGATGTTGCAACTGACAACCTTGATTAGCACTGAATGGTCTTGCAGCTTCAAAGCCTGGCTGCTTTCTGCCTGGGGGAATTGCAACATACACATTTGCAATTCTTTCTCCCACCCTGAACATTTCACAGATGTATAAACCTCACTTGCCTAGTTTCCAACAGACCTCATAACCTCTGAGGATGCCTGCCATAGATCATCATCATCATCATCATCATAATCATCATCATCATGATATTTAATTACTTTTTAATCGCCCTCCATTTGAGAATGCTCTAGGCGATTTACAGCTAAATTGTAAAATTGTAGATGTGGGCAAAACATCAGGAGCTGGAATGTGTCCAGAGGAGGGCGACTAAAATGATCAAGGGTCTGGAGAACAAGCCCTATGAGGAGCGGCTTAAGGAGCTGAACATGTTTAGCCTGAAGAAGAGAAAGCTGAGAGGAGATATGATAGCCATGTATAAATATGTGAGAGGAAGCCACAGGAAGGAGGAGGGAGCAAGCTTGTTTTCTGCTTCCCTGGAGACTAGGACGCAATGGAACAATGGCTTCAAACTACAAGAAAGGAGATTCCATCTGAACACGAGGAAGAACTTCCTGACTGTGAGAGCCGTTCAGCAGTGGAACTCTCTGCCCCGGAGTGTGGTGGAGGCTCCTTCTTTGGAAGCTTTTAAACACAGGCTGGATGGCCATCTGTCAGGGGTGATTTGAATCCAATATTCCTGCTTCTTGGCAGAAAGGGGTTGGACTGGATGATGGCCCAGGAGGTCTCTTCCAACTCTTCGATTCTATGATTCTATGAATGCTTCTGGTCATATAGCCTGGGAAGCTCACAGCAACCCAAAGAAGTAATGTCTCCAAACAATGTCAAAATCTGCCCTTTCTGTCCCTCTATGGCTTCACAAAACCCTGTTTTTTTTCATATGGCCTCGTATCACGCAAACTCAGCGCCAACCTGAGAATGTAGAGCACTTGAGGAAATTGGTGGCAAAAATCATTATGGGTAAAAAAATTGGCGTTTCCCGCCCCATTTGCAAAAGGGAGAGAGGTGGGGCTTCTCCCTCTAAGCCACTCCACCATCTGGGTGTAGTTTTGCAGATCTGAGAGTTCGCCATTTAAAGGACCCCTTCTCCAATGTTTGGCATCCTGAGAAATGTTATTGGGGGGTGAAGTTGGAGAGGATAGGATCAGAGTGCAAATGAAGGGAGAGTGGATGCAAAAGGAATCTAGCATTCATTGTTTGGAGAAAGCCCAATTTCCTGGCTCTTGTGGCTGGGGAGATAAACATGGAAGTATGCATATGTGCAGTGGCTGATGACATGACAAGAACGACAAAGGAGTGAGCCACAACATGTCCAGGGAGAAGGAGCACAGATGCACCCTGCACAACTTCTCTCATTCCTCTGCTACAATGAAAGCAGAATGGCTTCTTCAAAACTGTAAAAGATTGAGAAATTCAACCTTTCTTGGTATCGAATTTTGATCATGCTTTCCAAAATTAAAAAAAAACATAGGTTGTTCTGTCTACAAACTATATTGTGTCTAGATTGCAGAATTTGGGTCTTGGGCCAGTTCAACTGCCATGGCTTTCTCCAGGAAATCCCAAAAGGAGCCACATCCAAATGAGTTTTAGGGCACTTCCAGACAGCACAAAATCACGAGTTTTAAACAGAGGCAAAAAAATCCCAGAACTTCAGAAGATGTCCACATACAGACCTGTTGGTCCCAGAATTTCTGCCTCCTGGGACTTGTTAGTCCCAGATTTTCTACCTCTGTTGTCCAGACTTGATGCTTTGATGCAAGATTTAGAGGCTCCCAAGATGGTCACCATGAAACTTCCACGGAAAACATTGGTGTCCTTTTTTTAAACTCAAGATGCGGGTATGATGAGAATAACTGCAGCGAATCACTGCAAAAGTTCCGTTCTTTGCCCTGCTCAGATAAACTGTGTCATTCACATGTTTCATAAAGTTTCTGGCACACAAACCAAATTTTTGCCTTCTACTCAAGTGTCACTTTCTTTTTAGGAACCAACCAATCAGGAACAAACATCTAAAACCTGGAAACAAACCCAGATTTAAAAAATCCCGTGATTTCCGAATGCAGGGACATACAGATATGTGAAGATCCGCATATTTGGTGCAAAACTGCAATATTCCTGCCCCTATAAATCTTGCTTTTACTCAAGTGTCACTTTCTTTTTAGGAACCATCCAACCAGGAACAAACATCTAAAACCCGGAAACAAACCCAGATTTAAAAAATCCCGTGATTTCCAAATGCAGGGACATACAGACATGCGAAGATCTGAATATTTGGTACAAAACTGCAATATTCCTGCACCTATAAATCTTGCTTTTACTCAAGTGTCACCTTCTTTTTAGGAACCATCCAACCAGGAACAAACATCTAAAACCCAKAAACAAACCCAGATTTWWAAAATCCTSGTRATTTCCGAATGCAGGGACATACAGACATGCGAAGATCTGCAYATTCGGTGCAAARCTGCAATATTCCTGCMCCTATAAATCTTGCTTTTACTCAAGTGTCACTTTCTTTTTAGGAACCAACCAATCAGGAACAAAGATCTAAAACCCGGAAACAAACCCAGATTTAAAAAATCCCGTGATTTCCGAATGCAGGGACATACAGATATGTGAAGATCCGCATATTTGGTGCAAAACTGCAATATTCCTGCCCCTATAAATCTTGCTTTTACTCAAGTGTCACTTTCCTTTTAGGAATCAACCAATCAGGAACAAACATCTAAAATCCGGAAACAAACCCAGATTTAAAAAATCCCATGATTTCCAGGATTTTTGCCTTTTGTAGCAACTGCTTCTGTGTATTGTCGAAGGCTTTCATGGCTGGAATCACTAGGTTCTTGTGCCTTTTTTCGGGCTATATGGCCATGTTCTAGAGGCATTTTCTCCTGACGTTTCGCCCGTATCTATGGCAAGCATCCTCAGAGGTAGTGAGGTCTGTTGGAATAGGAAAATGGGTTTATATATCTTATATATTCAGGAGAAAATGCCTCTAGAACATGGCCATATAGCCCGAAAAAAGCCACAAGAACCAACTGCTTCTGTGTTTACAAGGAACGGCATCTGCTCACCCTCCTATTTGCTGTGGAAGCTCCCGGGATAAAGGTACTGTCTGGACGGGCCCTTAGACTCTCCTATTCCCAACCCATGGTCCCTCTGGACCGCAGGGAAGAAGAAGGATGGTGAAGCTAGCTTAAGTTTGCAGCGTGTTATTGCATTAAGGGAGACCGTATCACTATATCTCGGCAGATGGAATAAGGTCCGCAAAAGCAAGGGCTCCGCCATGTGCATTGGCTCTTAAAGTGCAGTGCTAAGGACCCGTGGGAAATGGAAGGGCGCGTGGTAATGCAGTTCTCTGAAAGCAAAGGGGAGAAACAACAACGAGGGGGGAAGACAAGGAAAGAAGTACCCTATTCACACAGAGGCCGGCTCCATCTACGACGTCGGGCAGCACGTTGCCTCCCCTCCCAATCCCCAACCATCACAAGGTGCAGGATTCTGACAAACTGGGCTAAAACAGAGAGGAGGGACGTAAGGGCAGCAAGCGCCATGACTCCAGGGCAGGAAAACGGTCAAAAAGGGCAAGGAAACTAGTCCAGTCCTCGAGTCCTTTGGCGACGGGACTGCTACTCGTCGCAGCCCAGAAGCTCCACGCGCAATGTGATGCGGTTGTGCCAGGATTCGGGCAAGATGCGGACAAAGCGGGCATAGAAGGGCACGTCGAAAACGTTCTTCTTGTGAGAATAATTGTCGGAATTCCCTTCGAATATCTGTGTTGGGAAAGAAGAAACAGCTCTGTTAGGAAAAGGCAAGAAAAAGGGAGGCCAACCTGGATAATTGCAGGCTTCGTTGTCCTTTCTGCTTTTAAAAAAATGAGAATGTACTTTTGTCGAAGGCTTTCATGGCTGGAATCACTAGGTTCTTGTAGGTTTTTTCAGGCTATAGGGCCATGTTCTAGAGGCATTTCTCCTGACGTTTCGCCTGCATCTATGGCAAGCATCCTCAGAAGTAGTGAGGTCTGTATCCATATCTACCTCTGAGGATGCTTGCCATAGATGCAGGCGAAACGTCAGGAGAAATGCCTCTAGAACATGGCCCTATAGCCCGAAAAAACCTGCAAGAACCTAGAGAATGTACTTCTTTTTTATTTAAGGTAATGGCAATCTAGAGAGCCAACATAGTTTAAGCATTGGAATAGCACTCGAAGAAACCAGGGTTTTATTTATTCACTTTATTGTTAGTATTACATTTATTATTTTACTCTATTATTATTGGGTTGTTGTAGGTTTTTTCGGGCTATATGGCCATGTTCTAGAGGCATTCTCTCCTGACATTTTGCCTGCATCTATGGCAAGCATCCTCAGAGGTTGTGAGGTCTGTTGGAACTAGGAAAATTGGGTTTATATATCTGTGGAATGACCAGGGTGGGACAAAGACCTCTTGTCTGTTGGAGCTAGGTGTGAATGAGTTGTTGTAGGTTTTTTCGGGCTATATGGCCATGTTCTAGAGGCATTCTCTCCTGACATTTCGCCTGCACCTATGGCAAGCATCCTCAGAGGTAGTGAGGTCTGTTGGAACTTAGGGAAAAGGGTTTATATATCTGTGGAATGACCAGGGTGGGACAAAGGACTCTTGTCTGCTGGAGCTAGGTGGGAATGTTTCAACTGACCACCTTGATTAGCAATATAATGGCTTGACAGTGCCTGGAGCAAACCTTTGTTGAGAGGTGATTAGATGTCCTTGTTTGTTTCCTCTCTGTTGTTGTGCTGTTGTAATTGTAGAGGTTTTTTAAATACTGGTAGCCAGATTTTGTTCATTTTCATGGTTTCCTCCTTTCTGTTGAAAATGTCCACATGCTTATGGATTTCAGTGGCTTCTCTCGTGTAGTCTGACATGGTGCTTGTGAGAGTGGTCCAGCATTTCTGTGTTCTCAAATAATAATATGCTGTGTCCAGGTTGGTTCCTCAAATGCTCTGCTATGGCTATTATTATTATTATTGCATTTCCATTACTTTATTATTATTTTATTACATTTATTATCTTGCTCCCTTTATTATTATTGGAAGGATACATAAACACATTACATTAAAGAAGGTTAGAATAATGGTTTAATCAGAGTTGGACAGTCTTATCTTAGATTATAGTTTTATGTAAATATTCTAAAACATTTAACCTATTGATGCCTCAATACATGTAATTTTATTAGTATCTATTTTTATTTTGAAATTTACTACTAGCTGATGCATTTCCCATCCTCAGCTTATAGTCAAGTCAATATGTCTTCCCAGTTTTTTATGGTAAAATTTAGTATATTCGGGTCAGCTTATACATGAGTATATACACTATTTGTGTTAAGAAACAAAATAAAGCATCCAAGGCATCAGGAAATGCACAAACTTACTAAATGGACACAGGAGACCTACACAGCACAAAAATAGAAATTAAATCCACGTATTTTCATGCCACAGAGATTTTGCTCAGGTCTACCTTAGTGCCGTTTGTCTTGCTGTCTTTGTAAAGCGTCCAGTACTTCCCGTCATCGCTGTAAGCGACTTTGTAGGCAGCGACATACTGAATGTGGCCAAAATCACGAGCTCCCTGCGTGACAATCCCAGCCACTTTTTTCTGAGTCTCAAGATCAATCTGCAGAAAGCAAAGACAGGGAAATTCACTGCTATGAGTAAAAAAAAAAAAAGCCTGGCAACAATAGAGTTTTTACCAACCAAAAACACATTTAAAACCACATGAAAGCCCTCCCAGCCACCGCTGACACCTGAGTGTCAAGAGTCAATAATAATAATAATAATAATAATAATAATAATAATAATAATAATAATAACTTTATTTGTACCCCGCTATTGGACTAAATTCTCAGACATGTTAGATGACATGATCACATCGGCCGCGCCAATCCCTGAGGAATACGAACATTTTATTGAAATAGTGAAAACCTGCTCACGGGCCTCGATACCGAGAGGCTGCAGAACCAACTACCTTCAGGGCATTACTCCTGAAACAGCTGCCTTGTTGGAAAACTATTACAGGCTCCACAACAAAGACCCATTTAGTGAGCAGACCCTTCAGGCAGCGCAGAGCATTGTGTCCTCCATCTCTGAAGCCAAGAAAGAACAGTGGATCAAGCTGATCACAGAGGTCGACATGGGCAGGAGCAGCCAGAAGGCGTGGAGGCTGCTAAGACGGTTGAGCAATGACCCCTCACAAACTAATACCCATGCCAACATAAAGGCAGATCAGATAGCACACCAACTCTTGAAGAATGGGAAACCCAACCTTGCCACCAAAGTAGGAAAGAAACCAATAGCCAGACAACCAGAGATTGAGAACAACAACCTCCATGAACCCTTTACATCTACTGAATTGGACATGGCTCTCAACAAATGTAAGAATGGCAAAGCAGCTGGCTTGGATGATCTACGGATGGAACAAATCAAGAACTTTGGTCCAAAAGCAAGGCGCTGTCTGCTGGAGCTGATGAACAACTGCACTGCATCCTGTCAGATCCCCAAAATCGGGAGGAAAGCAAGAGTCATCGCCATCTTGAAGCCAGGCAAAGACCGTAATGACCCAAAAAGCTACAGACCAATCTCCCTGTTGTGCCACCTCTACAAAGTTCTGGGAAGACTTATTTTGCATAGAATTATGGAAAAATATAGACCCCTGTCTGATCCCACAGCAAGCTGGCTTCAGAAAAGGCAAAAGCTGTACATCGCAAGTGCTGAACTTGACTCAACACATAGAAGATGGCTTTGAAAGGCAGCAGATCACAGGAGCTGTCTTCATAGACCTGTCAGCAGCCTATGATACTGTGAACCACCGCCTCCTCCTGAGAAAAATGTATAATATCACAAAGGACGACCACCTCACCCGCCTCATAGGAAACCTGCTACAAAACAGGAGCTTTTTTGTTGAGTTCCAGGGCCAGAGAAGCAGATGGCGGAAACAGAAGAACGGCCTGCCTCAGGGGAGCGTGCTTGCTCCATCCATGTTCAACATTACACAAATGACCAGCCACTGCCAGAAGGGACAGAGAGTTCATCTATGCTGATGATCGTGCCATTACTGCTCAAGCAGGGAGCTTTGAGATGGTTGAACAGAAGCTCTCCGAAGCTCTAGGTGCTCTTACTGCCTATTACAGGGAAAACCAGCTGATCCCTAATCCATCTAAAACACAGACATGTGCTTTTCACCTTAAGAACAGACAAGCATCCCGAGCTCTGAGGATTACCTGGCAAGGAATCCCACTGGAGCATTGCAACACACCCAAATACCTGGGAGTCACTTTGGACCGTGCTCTGACCTAAAAGAAGCACTGCCTGAACATCAAGCAAAAAGTGGGCGCTAGAAACAACATCATACGAAAGCTGACTGGCACAACCTGGGGATCACAACCAGACACAGTGAAGACATCTGCCCTTGCGCTATGCTACTCTGCTGCTGAGTATGCATGCCCAGTGTGGAACACACCTCACCACGCTAAAACAGTGGATGTGGCTCTTAATGAGACATGCCGCATTATCACAGGGTGTCTGCGCCCTACACCACTGGAGAAATTACACTGCTTAGCCGGTATTGCACCACCTGACATCCGCCGGGAAGTAGCAGCCAATAGTGAAAGGACCAAGGCAGAGACATCTCCAGCTCATCCCCTGTTTGGGTATCAGCCAGCATGTCAACGACTTAAATCAAGACATAGTTTTCTTAGATCTACAGAGACACTCAGTGGAACACCCCAGCAAGCGAGAGTCCAAAAGTGGCAGGCCCAAACCCAGCACCTCAATCCATGGGTGAGGCCAGATGAGAGACTCCCCCCTGGGCACACAGAAGACTGGGCGACTTGGAAGGCGCTGAACAGACTGCGCTCTGGCACCACGAGATGCAGAGCCAACCTTAAGAAATGGGTCCACAAAGTGGAATCCATGACATGCGAGTGTGGAGAAGAGCAAACCACTGACCACCTGCTGCAATGCACCCTGAGCCCTGCCACATGCACAATGGAGGACCTTCTTGCGGCAACACCAGAGGCACTCCAAGTGGCCAGATACTGGTCAAAGGACATTTAACCAAATACCAAATTTGCAAAATCTGTGTGGTTTTTTTTCCTTTTTCTTTTTAATCTCTGTGTTTGTTTTGCTCTGTTAGAATTGTAATACAATGGTTGCTGATGACACGATAAATAATAAATAAATAACGGATCCCCCGGTGGCGCAGTGGGTTAAAGCACTGAGCTGCTGAGCTTGTTGATCGAAAGGTCGCAGGTTCAATTCTGGGGAGCGGCGTGAGCTTCCGCTGTCAGCCCTAGCTTCTGCCAACCTAGCAGTTTGAAAACATGCAAATGTGAGTAGATCAATAGGTACCGCTCCGGCGGGAAGGTAACGGCGCTCCATGCAGTCATGCCGGCCACATGACCTTGGAGGTGTCTACGGACAACGCTGGCTCTTTGGCTTAGAAATGGAGATGAGCACCACACCCCAGAGTCAGACATAACTGGACTTAATGTCAGGGGACAACCTTTACCTTTACCTATCATCTCCCCAAGGGACTCGGTGCGGCTTACATGAGGCCGAGCCCACAATACAACAATAAACAATAACAAGAATAATACAAAACAATAAATAAACTCATAAGCAAAATAAGCAATAAACATTAACAATAACACGACGCGTTTAGAAACCTATGGCTGGGCTAAATGTAATAATTAAAAACTTTAAAAATAATGCTGGCCATGACAAGGTGACATGTAACTGGGATAGAAGTTTTGGAGAGGGAAGAAATGTGCGGACAATCTTAAATCATTATTAAAGTGCGTTTAGGGACATATTGCTGGGAGTTTCCTTATTCTGGGAAGGCACACTGGAACAGCTATGTCAATACTGAGCCCAGAATGCGGACCCATGACCTTAGATGGCAACCCCATCGAGCACAGGTTGCCACCCTATGCCCCGATCAGCTTTGTGACTGACCAGGAGGACCTGTGCCTTGTCAGGATTAAGCTCCAGCTTGTTAGCCCTCATCCAGTCCATCACAGTGGCCAGGCACTGGCCAAGGATCCGGGGGGCTTCCTTGGAATTTGGTGGAAAAGAGTAATAGAGTTGAGTGTCATTTGCATAGAGATGGCATTTATTTATTTCCGTCACTTTTACCCCGCCCTTCTCACCCCCAAGGGGGGACTCAGGGCGGCTTACAGAGAAAGGCACAATTCGATGCCCTGTCACATATACATACATATATAAAAGCAATTAAGCAATTACAAATTAAAATAAATCATCAATACACAACAACACCATAAACACAGTAGTAGGCTAATCCTGAGCTCAGCGTTCCGAGTTCCGTAAATCCATTCCGTCTTGTCCAGTTCCAGCTCGTCATCAAGTCTTTCTTTAGCTGCCAGAATGTCCAAATGCCTGGTCCCACATCCAGGTCTTCAACCTCTTCCTAAATGAAAGAAGGGACGTTGCCGATCTAATCTCCCCGGGGAGTGAGTTCCACAGGCGGGGGGCCACCACCGAGAAGGCCCTGCTCCTCGTCCCCGCCAGCCTCACTTGTGATAGAGGCAGGGTCGAGAGCAGGGCCTCCCCAGAAGATCTTAGGTTCCGAGGTGGGACACAGAGGGAGATCCGTTCGGATAGATACACTGGGCCGGAACCGTTTAGGGTTTTGTAGGTCAAAACCAGCACTTTGAATTGTGCTCGGAATTGGATCGGCAGCCAGTGGAGCTGACACAACAGGGGGGTGGTATGCTCCCTGTATGTCGCTCCAGTGAGCAATCTGGCTGCCTCTCGTTGGACCAGTTGGAGTTTCCGAGCAGTCTTCAAAGGCAACCCCACGTAGAGTGCGTTGCAGTAATCTAATCGGGATGTAACAAGAGCGTGGACCACCGTGGACAAGCATTGAACTCCAAAATGGGCAACAGCATTGTCTATAGCCTCCAACAATTCCTCCTCTGTACATGAGGCAGGGCACAGTGGACAAGCATACAGATGCAGAGTTGTCTGTTCTGCTCCACAGTCACACAAGGTGTGGGATTCTTTTAGGTAGTGCCCTTTTGCCAGGTTGTTTTTGATCTGCCCACTCTGCTTCTGAGTCTGTTCAGGGACTTCCAAGTTGCCCATTCTTGGTTTGCCCCTGGAGGAAGACCCTCGTGGGGGGCTATCCAGTTGGGATTCCTGATTTAGCTGCCCAGAGGGATACCCTTGCTGTTGCTGTGGGGACACCAAGAGGAATGGTAGTTCCCATAAAGCTTTTCCTTGATTTTGAGTCTACTGGGAGGAGGCTGGTAGCCACGTAGTGGGGGGCTTTTACAGTGTTCAACCTTATTTCTCTCACATTTAGCAGCAGCAACTTCCCATCACACATCCAGGGGGAGGGGGGGCAATGCCAGCTAGCTTGTAGAGTTTATCAACAGGTGTAGGTTTAAGACATCCTGTGATTATTCTGCATGTAGATGTTTAAAAGCATAGTTTTTCTACATAGGAGGTAGAATGGAACCTTGCAGGATCCCACAGGTCAATGGTGAGGGGCCCAAGCAGGTGTCTCCCAGCTTCACCAAATGGGTAAAATCCTCTAGGAAGGAGCAGAACCACTGCAAGACAGTGCCCCCAAGATCCATTTCGGAGAGCCACCCCAGAAGGATACCATGGTCGATGGTATCAAAAGCTGCTGAGATGTCCAAAGGAACCAACAAGGAAACACTCCCTCTGTCGAGCTCTCTGCAGAGGTTATCCACCAAGGCAACCAAAGCCTTCTTCGTACCAAGACCAGGCTTGAAACCAGACTGCGATGGATGTAGAACATTTGTTCTCAGCTTTAAAATGCTACTTGGAAAGTACTTGGGTAATAAAAGGTGCCCATAAGGCAATTCAATCAGGAGGACATCTAAGGATGACAAAGCTCCACAGCATGGAAGACAGAGCAACAGCACTCCCCTGGTGGCCGGAGTTGAGCACAGCCTCCAGATGACAGAAATGGAAAAGATGGGGAGAGCTTTCACATCTGTTTATGTAGTGTCCTAACTTGTTAATTGTATAACAGCACTGAATGTTTGCCGTATATGTGTTCTGTAATCTGCCCTGAGTCTCCTCAAGGAGATAGAGCAAAATATAAATAAAATAGGTAAAGGCAAATGTTTCCCCTGACATTAAATCTAATCATGTCCAACTCTGGGGAGTGGTGCAGATGGTTGGTCAATGCGACTTAAGCAACGTGCAGTCATGGAATTCTTGACAGCAGAAGGTGTCACCCCAAAGGAGATTCATCAGAGAATGCAATCTGTATATGGTGATTGTGTTGATGTGAATACGGTGCGTCATTGGGCGAGTAAGTTTAAAGATGTTGAGGTGACATGTTCTGCTGTCAAGAATTCAATGACTGCACGTTGCTTAAGTCACATTGACCGACCGTCTGCACAGGGTTCCATACTTCGCACTTTAACAACACAACCATTCAATGCTAAGGCTTCCTGCCCAAACGGAACTGTAGAGGAGAGTCTACTGAACAAGCCAGTACCTGCCGCATACCAGTACGGCTATCTGTTGAGGAGTTACGAAGGTGGAGGCATTACTTTTCATTCAACCCTCGTATTATTGTTGAGGAAATCTACTGTAAGGAATGCAGCTCAGCTCAGAGGGAACAGGGAAGCCTGAAGGAGGGGTGGAGGATGCTTTCATCATCCTCACTCATCAAACTATCCCTGCAACTCAACCGAATTCCACGATAACAGTGCTGTGTAACCACAAGTTCCGATTCCCAAATCCCCATCTCTTCAAAGACCCACCTGTAGCCATTCACCCTGCTTGTTGTGGAGGGCTGCCCAGGCATTGCTCTTTCCCGTCTTGTCGAGGCGCGCATAGTGCGGATACCAAGTGAACGCATCGATGCCCCACGTCTTGTACACACTGGACGCCGTGATCTGCTGGTCAGAGATGAGGCGGGATTTCATGCCCAGCGGCTCCGAGCAACCTGCCATGTTGAAATACACTGTAACACAACAGTTTATAGGCACAGTGAAAGGGAAGAGCCCAGAAGGAACAGAACTTCAGCAGCCCAAAATAACAAGAAAAGGTCAAGCATCACCAATCAGACACGTCCCAAACGTCCCCAAAGCAGTGATTTTTAATTATTCCAAATTCAAAGAACTCAGTGTGGATTCATCAATCAAGAAGCAAGAAAAATCTAGATAGAATCAGGGAGGCAATATGATATCAAGTCAGACCATTGGTGTATAGCGTGGGCAACTTGGAATAACTGCGTTGGAAACAAACACATGCCATAGATGGCTGCACTGTTGTATCTAGTGCTTTTGTGTGTGCGTCAGGAGCGACTTGAGAAACTGCAAGTCACTTCTGGTGTGAGAAAATTGGCCATCTGCAAGGACGTCACCCAAGGGACGCCCAGATGTTTTACCCCTCTTCGGGAGGCTTCTCGCATGTTCATGTTCACACATGAGAAGCTGGAGCTGACAGATGGAGCTCATCCTGCTCGTTGGATTTGAACTTCCAACCTTTCAGTCAGCAGTCCTACTGGCACATGAGTTTAACCCATTTAACCAGGGAATCTGGTGCTAAATTTAGCAGTTTAAGCAGCAGAGGGGGAAAAAGAAAAGGCCTGAGGCTGTTAGGAATTCTGGGAGTTGAAGTCCAAAACACCTGGAGGTCCAAAGTTTGCCCATGTCTGAACTATACCTTGCAACTATGCTGTGTTATTTCGTACATTTTTATGCTGTTACGTTAATGGATTTTTAAATAATGGGGATCACTTCTTTGTGACTCTCTTTTACACACCATTACGGCTAATTCTGAGATAGTCTCATATCTTCAAGGCTTATAAATCCAATTTAAAATGAAGATACTCTCAGCAGATGAGACAAGACACTATATTTTACCCAGTAAGGCGAATGAATGACATTTTGCAAAACTATTTTAATATCTGGTTTAGAAAGCAACATCTCGGACTCTGAGGATAGAATCATAGAATCATAGAATCAAAGAGTTGGAAGAGACCTTGGGCCATCCAGTCCAACCCCCTGCCAAGAAGCAGGAATATTGCATTCAAATCACCCCAGACAGATGGCCATCCAGCCTCTGTTTAAAAGCTTCCAAAGAAGGAGCCTCCACCACACTCTGGGGCAGAGAGTTCAACTGCTGAACGGCTCTCACAGTCAGGAAGTTCTTCCTCATGTTCAGATGGAATCTCCTCTCTTGTAGTTTGAAGCCATTGTTCCTGCTTCCTAGTCTCCAGGGAAGCAGAAAACAAGCTTGCTCCCTCCTCCCTGTGGCTTCATCTCACATATTTATACATGGCTATGATGTCTCCTCTCAGCCTTCTCTTCTTCAGGCTAAACATGCCCAGCTCCTTAAGCCGCTCCTCATAGGGCTTGTTCTCCAGACCCTTGATCATTTTAGTCGCCCTCCTCTGGACACATTCCAGCTTGTCAATATCTCTCTTGAATTGTGGTGCCCAGAACTGGACACAATATTCCAGGTGTGGTCTAACCAAAACAGAATAGAGGGGTAGCATTACTTCCCTAGATCTAGACACTATGCTCCTATTGATGCAGGCCAAAATCCCATTGGCTTTTTTTGCTGCCACATCACATTGTTGGCTCATGTTTAACTTGTTGTCCACGAGGACTCCAAGATCTTTTTCACACGTACTGCTCTCGAGCCAGGCATTGTCCCCCATTCTGTATCTTTGCATTTCGTTTTTCCTGCCAAAGTGGAGTATCTTGCATTTGTCACTGCTGAACTTCATTTTGTTAGTTTTGGCCCATCATCTCTCTAATCTGTCAAGATCGTTTTGAATCCTGCTCCTGTCCTCTGGAGTATTGGCTATCCCTCCCAATTTGGTGTCGTCTGCAAACTTGATGATCCTGTCAGGGGTGATTTGAATGCAATATTCCTGCTTCTTGGCAGGGGGTTGGACTGGATGGCCCATGAGGTCTCTTCCAACTCTTTGAGGAGAGACAGAGAAGCAGCGAAGGTGCCTAGAAGTATGTCTCTGTGGCTGTGTTTCTCAACCTGGCAGTTGGGTCCCCTGAGGGGGGGGGTCGCAAGGGGGCATTAGAGGGGTTGCCAAAGACCATCAGAAAACACTAGAGATTTGAGCTCGTCGGAGGAGGCCCTGCTCTCGATCTCGCCTGCTTCACAAGCACATCTGGCGGGGACGAGAGACAGGGCCTTTTCTGTGGTGGCCCCTCGGCTGTGGAACTTGCCCAGGGATATCAGATCGGCTCCCTCCCTCCTAAGCTTTCGAAAAAAACCTGAAAACTTGGCTCTTTGAGCAAGCTTTTGGAGCCTCAGCTTAATCAGATAAACCTGAATTGGAAAACGATCTAGGAACAGCTAAGACAACGGAACGGATGAGGACTGAATATGATGACATAGTTTTAATTTTTTTATTTTTCACTGTTTTGATGTTTTTAGAAATATTGTAATGTGATGTTTTATTTTTATTGATGTATGCATTTTATATATGGCATTACATTGTGCCAATTGTTCGCCGCCCTGAGTTGGGTTGATATGGGCAGGGTAAAAATGATATAAATAAAATAAATAATATTTTCTGTTGGTCTGGGGGTCCTGTTTGGGAAGTTTGCCCCGATTCTATCGTTGGTGGGGTTCAGATGCTCTTTGATTGTAGGTGAACTATAAATCCCAGCAACTACAACTCCCAAATGTCAAGGTTTATTTTACCCAACTCCACCAGTGTTCACATTTGGGCATATTGAGTATTCAAGCCAAGTTTGGTCCAGATCCATCATTGTTTGAGTCCACAGTGCTCTCTGGATCTAGGTGAACCAGAACTCCCAAACTCAAGGTCAATGCTCACCAAACCCTTCCAGTATTTTCTCTTGGTCATGAGAGTTCTGTGTGCCAAGTTAGATTTAATTTCATAGTTGCTGGAGTTCAGAGTGCTCCTTGATTGTAGGTGAACTCCAAATCCCAGCAACTACAACTCCCAAATGACAAAATCAATCCTTCCCAACCCCACCAGTATTCAACTTTGGGTGTATTGGGAATTTGTGCCAAATTTGGTCCAGTGAATGGAAATACATCCTGCATATCAGATATTTACCCAACGATTCATAACAGGAGCAAAATGACAGTTATGAAGTAGTAACGAAAATAATGTTATGGTTGGGGGTCACCACAACATGAGTAACTGTATTAAGGGGTCGCGGCATTAGGAAGGTTGAGAAGCACTGCTCTATGGTGTTCTGCCCAAATTTTAATTGCAGGTTCCTTGGGATAATGAATGTGGTCTTATGACACTGTGCCACAAAATGTTATACACGATGATGATGATGATTATGATTATGATTATTATTATTAAACTTTATTTGTACCCCGCTAGCATCTCCCGAAGGACTCGATGCGGCTTACAAAGGCCAAGGCCTCAACACAACAACAACAGACAATAACAATACGATGCAAAGCAAATTAAAAACATAAGCAAAAACAAAACATTACACTATTACACAATAAAAACCAGGGCCGGGCCAATGATGGGTACAGGTTAAAAAAGTGCTGGGTGTGTGAGGTGATATGTTGGATTTCTGGGCAAGTGCAATGTGCAGAGAGTCTTAAACTCTAATAAGGTGCTTCTGGGACATAGTGCTGAGGGTTATACTAATCCGGAAAGGCACATCGGAATAGCCAGGTCTTCAAGTTCTTCCTAAAGGCTGCCAACGTGGGTGCTAGTCTAATGTCTTTGGGGAGGGTGTTCTAGTCGGGGGGCAACCACAGAGAAGGCCCTGTCCCTCGTGCCCACCAAACGTGTCTGCAACGCAGGTGGGATCGCGAGAAGGGCCTCTCCGGATGAACGAAGGGAGCGCTTGGGTTCATAAACGGAGATGCGGTCATGCAGGTAGGCAGGTCCCAAACCGTTTAGGGCTTTGTAGGTAAGCACCTACACCTTGATGAATTGGGTTCGGTAGGTAAACGGCAGCCAATGGAGCTCCTTAAACAGGAGGGTTGACCTCTCTCTGTAAGGAGCACCAGTTAACATCCTGGCCGCCGCCTGTTGAACCAGTTGGGAGTTTCCAAGCCGTTTTCAAGGGCAGCCCCACGTAGAGTGCATTACAGTAATCCATGATGATGATGATGATGATGATGATGATTGAATAATTAAGGAGTGCCAGTGGAAAGGAATAGTATCCAGTTTTGCAACTCCTGGGAACACCAGCAGGTGTCATTGCAATGGCTAACGCAAATAACAAAGGAATTTGGGAGCAAAGAGAAAGTCAAGTATGCCTTATGGAAATACCCCATCAGCCATAGACACCAAAGAAGAGAGGAGCCCTCAGTGGTACAATGGGTTCATCCAGTGGTTCTCAACCTTCTTAATGCTGCGACCCCTTAGTAGAGTTCCTCATGTTGTGGTGACCCCCAACCATAACATTGTTTTCGTTGCTACTTCATAACTGTAATTTTACTACTGTTATGAATGGTAATGTAAATATCTGATATACAGGATGTATCTTCATTCACTTGACTAAATTTGGCACAAATATCTGATACGCCCAAATTTGAATACTGGTGGAGTTGGGAGGGGGGATTGATTTTGTCATTTGGGAATTGTAGTTGCTGGGATTTTTAGTTCACCGACAATCAGAGCATTCTGAACTCCACCAACGATGGAATTGAATCAAACTTGGCACACAGAACTCCCATGACCAACATAAAATACTGGAAGGATTTAGTGGGTACTGACCTTGAGTTTTGGAGTTTTGGAGTTCACCTACATCCAGGTGGACTCAAACAATGATGGATCTGGACCAAACTTGGCACAAATACTCCATATGCTCAAATGTGAGCACTGGTGAAGTTTGGGGAAAATAGACCTTGACACTTGGGAGTTGTAGTTTCTGGGATTTATAGTTTGCCTACAATCAAAGAGCATTATGAACCCCTCCAATGATAGAATTGGGCCAAACTTCCCACACAGAACCCACATGACCAACAGTAAATGCTTCCAAAAAGGAAGAGAAGGACAGGCGGAGAGATCTTCAGCCTCCTCTGCTAAAGGGCTTCCTAGGACTATCCGAAATATGTGTTTTCTGATGGTGTTTGGTGACCCCTCTGACACCCCCTCATTACCCCCCCCCCCGGGGTCCCGACCCCCAGGTTGAGAAACACTAGGTTAAACGCTTGTGCCAGCAGGACTGAAAACTGACAGGTCAGAGGTTGGAATACAGGGAGATCGTGGATAAGCTCCCTCTGTCAGCTCCAGCTCCCCATGTGGAGACATGAGAGAAGCCTCCCACAAGGATAATAAAACATCAAAACATCCCAGTGTCCCCTGGGCAACATTCTTGCAGACGGCCAATTCTCTCTCACCAGAAGTGACTTGCAGTTTCTCAAGTCGCTCCTGACATGAAAAAGAAGAAGAAGACCTCCACCGATGATGGACCTGGACCAAACTTGGCACACAGAAACCCCATGACTATCTCAACCTACTGGAGGGGTTTGAAAGTACTAACTCACAGTAGTGGGAGTTGTGGTTTACCCTACAGCCAGAGATGCATCTAGAGCAAACTTGCCCAACATAACAAACTTTAAGTACTGATGTTGGTTTTTCAGGGTTAACCTGGCATGATGTGAGTTGTAGTTCACCCACAACTTATATACATTTTGTACAATTAAAAATTTGAATTTTTCAAATAACCCAGGTAATACCCAAGCTAGAGTTAAATAAAATCCAGTTGAGCCTTATTGGTGCTGCCACATTCATTCGTTTTTCTCCTCCCGTCCCCCTTTTAAAATTTCAGCCCTATAGATTCGTCCAGAGCCTTTCATCAGCTTTGAATTGGGATTTTGTTCTCTTCTGATTTGCCCAGTCTACAGTTGAGACAAAAGAATCCAGTGTGGGAGCCGGTTGACTTCAGGAGACCAATGCAAAAGCAGGACAAATAAACAAAACGGAGAGCCGTCACCCAGCCCAGTTGAGAAGCATTTACCATTCATTTCACAGCCAATCAGCTCAAAGCGCACTGTGCAGGCTCTCCGACAGACCACAGGGTAGATCCGGATGTACTGAGCAGTGATGGGAGGATTGAACATATTGGTCACGGTACCATCGTTGTCCACATTGCCTGAGAAAACCTACAAGAGAAAGAAATGTAAAAACTATCATATAATATAATATATTGTCGAAGGCTTTCATGGCCGAAATCACTGGGTTGTTGTAGGTTTTTTTGGGCTATATGGCCATGGTCTAGGGGCATTCTCTCCTGATGCTTCACCTGCATCTATGGCAAGCACCTTGGGAAGTCTGACTTGGCCACGGTAGTCCACGCTCTGGTTGCATCCCGTTTAGACTACTGCAACGCTCTCTAAGTGGGGTTGCCTTTGAAGACGGCTCGGAAGCTTCAATTGGTTCAACGTTCGGCAGCCATGATACTAACAGGAGCGGAGCGCAGGGGGCATACAACTCCTCTGCTGCGCCAGCTCCACTGGCTACCAATTTGCTACCGGGCACAATTCAAAGTGCTGCCGTTGGCCTATAAAGCCCTAAACGGTTCTGGCCCAAGTTACCTATCCAAACGTATCTCCGCCTATGAACCCACCAGGACTTTAAGATCTTCTGGGGAGGCCCTGCTCTCAATCCCACCTGCATCACAGGCACGTTTGGCGGGGACGAGAGACAGGGCCTTCTCTGTGGTGGCCCCTCGGCTGTGGAACGCCCTTCCCATGGACATTAGATCAGCCCCCTCCTTAATGGTGTTTCGAAGAAAACTGAAAACCTGGCTATTTGAACAGGCGTTCGGATAAGCAGTGCAATGAATATAATGAATATAGGAAAACGGAATTACGGATGACGAGATGGATCACGATTCTAGTTACGAGATGTTAATGTGTTGTTTATTGATGTGTAATTACTTAGTATACTACGGTGTTAATTGTTTTTAAATAGTGTATGTTGTTAGCATTGAATTTTTGCTCTTGTTGTAAACCGCGTTGAGTCGCCTACGGGCTGAGAAACTGCGGTATACAAATAAAGCAAATAAATAAATAAATAAATAAATAAGCATCCTCAGAGGTTGTGAGGTCTGTTGGAACTAGGAAAAAGGGTTTATCTATCTGTGGAATGATCAGGGTGAGACAAAGGACTCCTGTCTGCTGGAGCTAGGTGTGAATGTTTCAACTGACCACCTTGATTAGCATTTGATTGCCTAGCAGTGCCTGGAGCAATCTTTTGTTGAGAGATGATTAGATGTCCTGTTTGCTTCCTCTCTGTTGTTGTGCTGTTCTAATTTTCGAGTTTTTTAATACTGGTAGCCAGATTTTGTTCATTTTCATGGTTGCATAGTATGCAAACACTAAAATAGAATTAAATGTTCAAACTATTTTCACAATAAACCATAAAAACACTAAAAGCATTTTAAAACGTATTACTATAATGAAAGCACCGGCTTGTGGCGCAGCGGGTTGGGAGTCAGCTGCATTAAAATCACTACTGACTGAGAGGTCATGAGTTCGAAGCCAGCCTGGGTCAGAATGAGCTTCCGGCCATTTGTCTAGCTTGCTGTCAACCTTTGCAGCCCGAAAGACAGTTGCATCTGTCAAGTAGGAAATTTAGGTAACGCTTATGCAGGGAGGCTAATTTAACTAATTTACGACGCCATAAAAAACCTCTCCAGCAGGTTATAACAACAAACAATTGAAAAAGGAGGATAAAGAAGCGCTAACGAACTTATTAACAATAGCAAGACTGCTCATAGCAAGGAACTGGAAAAAAGAAATAAATATACAAATAGAGGAGTGGTACAAGGAAGCAAGCATGGAAATTGGCAATAAATGGTAAGCTGACATGTATATTAAAAGTTTAAAAAGGTATATGGAAACAAAGTGATTTTGATGTTGTATGGGGTAAATTTGTTGTAAATGGTTTAAAAAACAAAGAAGGAAGGTTACCGCCACAAGAAGAAATGAGATTTTGGACAGATGATATGTAAAAGTTGTGGCTTGAAATGGGGGGGAGGGGAGCACAGTGGTGGGGGGAAAAAAAGGGGGGAAATGCTTAAGCAGAAGAAAAAGATTATATGTTAAAGAGGGTGTTGAATAATATGTAACTGCTATAAACAAATGTATAATAAATGTAATAATTATGATAAAGTAATATATAATGGAGAAAGGCAGGGAGTTTCAGAAAAACATCTACTTCTGCTTCATTGACTCTTCTAAAGCCTTTGACTGTGTGGATCATAATCAATTGTGGCAAGTTCTTGGTGGGATGGGCATCCCAAGCCCCCTTCCCTCTCTCCTGAGGAATCTGTACAAGGACCAAGTAGCAACAGTCAGAACTGACCACGGAGGAACAGACGGGTTCAAGATTGGGAAAGGCATCCGGCAAGGCTGCATACTCTCACCCAACCTTTTTAACTTGTATGCAGAACACATCATGCGAGGCTGTGCGGGGCTGGATGAATGCAAAGCTGGGGTGAAAATTGCTGGAAGAAACATTAACAACCTCAGATATGCAGATGACACCACTCTGATGGCCGAAAGCGAGGAGGAGCTGAGGAGCCTTCTAATCAAGGTGAAAGAAGAAAGCGCAAAAGCTGTGTTGCAGCTAAACATCAAAAAAACCAAGATTATGGCAACAAGAATGATTGACAACTGGAAAATAGAGGGAGAAAACGTGGAGGCCGTGACAGACTTTGTATTTCTAGGTGCAAAGATGACTGCAGATGCAGACTGCGGCCAGGAAATCAGAAGACGCTTCCTTCTTGGGAGGAGAGCAATGTCCAGTCTCGATAAAATAGTAAAGAGTAGAGACATCAGACTGGCAACAAAGATCCGCCTAGTCAAAGCCATGGTCTTCCCTGTAGTCACCTACGGATGTGAGAGCTGGACCTTAGGGAAGGCTGAGCGAAGGAAGATAGATGCTTTTGAGCTGTGGTGTTGGAGGAAAGTTCTGAGAGTGCCTTGGACTGCGAGAAGATCCAACCAGTCCATCCTCCAGGAAATAAAGCCCGACTGCTCATTGGAGGGAAGGAGACTAGAGACAAAGTTGAAGTACTTTGGCCACATCATGAGGAGACAGGAAAGCCTAGAGAAGACAATTATGCTGGGGAAAGTGGAAGGTAAAAGGAAGAGGGGCCCACCAAGGGCAAGATGGATGGATGGCATCATTGAAGTGACTGGACTGACCTTGAGGGAGCTGGGGGTGGTAACAGCCGACAGGGAGCTCTGGCGTGGGCTGGTCCATGAGGTCACGAAGAGTCGGAGACGACTGAACGAATGAACAACAACAACAATATATATATACACACACACACACCTCCAGCAGCGTGCAAAAGAATGAGGAAGTACCCCATTGCTGTCACAAGTGGACAGCGAATCAACAGCTCCCCCGGTGGCCGGAATTCAAAAGCACACCCTCATAAAGCTGGAAATTTAAATAGGCTTTGTGTGTCTGTCTATATATGTTGTGTGTCAATGGGACTGAATGCTTGCCATGTATATGTGCATTGTGATCCGCCCTGAGTCCCTTGCGGGGTGAGAAGGGCGGAATGTAAATAATGTCCAAAAAAAAAAAAAGCATTTCACAGCTTGTCCGAGTAGTCTTCCGGCACCATTCAATGATTCCAATATACACTAATTTTATACATACAGACCAAAAACTACCGTTAAGTCCCATTTAATTCAAAGGTCTTTCTGGCAACCCCCCCCCCCCACTCCCCAGTTTTGATTAATCATCAATGGGCTTTCACTAAATAACCAGATCTGTTTAGCCAACTATTTACTGCCGGCCAGCACAGCTCTTTGTGACCTGACCCGGAATGCTTCACCTTTTGTGTGGCCGCCAATTCAAATCAATTGCAATTTGGAAGGAAAGCTTTTCAAAGAGGGGAGAGGAAAGAATGACAACTATGCCACCAGGAGCAATGTGTTTCTCATCACCAAAACACAGCTATAGCTCCATGATCAGACTAGTCAGGGCTTGTAATGAGGAAGGAAACTCCAAAGAATGTCTGGATTCCCAAATATGTCAGGGTTGCCTCGTGAACACCTGCACAACAACAAGTAGGGGCCTATCTGTCACAACAAAATAGATGAAAAACAAAACCAGCATTCAACCAACTACATTTTCATGCAGAGAGGGGCTAGAAATGTATGTGAAATTAGCCTATACACCTGGTGTTGCCTGTGTATGTAAAAAGGTAAAGGTTTTCCCCTGACATTAAGTCCAGTCATGTCTGACTCTGGAGTCTGGTGCTCATCTCCATTTCTAAGCCGAAGAGCCAGTGTTGTCCATAGACACCTCCAAGGTCACGTGGCCAGCATGACTGCATGGAGCACCGTTGCCTGTGTGTAAGTTCCTTTTTGGTGGCTTTTAAAAAGAGGCTGGATGGTCATCTGTTAGGACAGTGGTTCTCAACCTTCCTAATGCTGTGACCCCTTAATCCAGTTCCTCATGTTGTGGTGACCCCCAACCATAACATTATTTTCGTTTCTACTTCATAACTGGCCACGGTAGTCCACGCTCTGGTTACATCCCATTTAGAGTACTGCAATGCTCTCTACGTGGGGTTGCCTTTGAAAACGGCTCGGAAGCTCCAACTAGTCCAACGCTCAGCAGCCATGATACTAACAGGAGCGGAGCGCAGGGAGCACACAACTCCTTTGCTGCACCAGCTCCACTGGCTGCCAATTTGCAACAGGGCTCAATTCAAAGTGCTGGCGTTGGCCTATAAAGCCCTAAACGGTTCTGGCCCAAGCTACGTATCCGAACGTATCTCTGCCTATGAGCCCACCAGGACTCTGAGATCTTCTGGGGAGGCCCTGCTCTCGATCCCGCCTGCTTCACAGGTGCGGCTGGCGGGGACGAGAGACAGGGCCTTCTCTGTGGTGGCCCCTCGGCTGTGGAACGCCCTTCCCACGGAGGTTAGATCAGCCCCTTCGCTAATGGTGTTTCGAAGAAAATTAAAAACTTGGCTGTTTGAACGGGCATTCGGATAAACAGTGCAAGGAATATGATGAACACAGGAATGGAATTATGGACGACGAATTGGATCACGATTCTAGTTACGAGATGTTATTGTGCTGTTATTGATGTGTCATTATTTTGTATACTATGCTTTTAATGGTTTTTAAATTGTATATCGTTTGATTAACTTTTACCCTTGCTGTAAACCGCGTGGAGTTGCCTGTCGGGTTGAGAAACTGCGGTATACAAGTAGAGTAAATAATAAATAATAATAATAATAATAATAATAATAATAACTGTAATTTTGCTACTGTTATGAATCATAATGTAAATATCTGATATACAGGATGTATTTTCATTCACTGGGCCAAATTTGGCACAAATATCCAATACACCCAAATTTGAACACTGGTGGAGTTTGGGCGAGGATTAATTTTGTCATTTGGGAGTTGTAGTTGCTGGGATTTATAGTTTACCTATTATCAGAGCATTCTGAACTCCACCAATGATGGAATTGAACCAAACTTGACACACAAAACTCCAATGACCAACAGAATTTGGCGGGCATTGACTTTGAGTTTTGGAGTTATAGTTCATCTACTTCCAGAGAACACTGTGGACTCAAACAATGATGGATCTGGACCAAACATGGCACAAATACTTAATGTGAGCACTGGTGGAGTTTGGGGAAAATAGACCTTGACATTTGGGTGTTGAAGTTTCTGGGATTTATAGTTCGCCTACAAGCAAAGAGCACTGTGAACCCCTCCATTGTAGTTGCTGAGATTTATAGTTCACCTACAATCAGAGCAATGGAATGGAATCAAACTTGGCACACAGAACTCCCATGACCAACAGAAAATACTGGAAGGATTTGGTGGGCATTGATTTTGAGTTTGGGAGTTGTAGTTCACCTACATCTAGAGAACACTGTGGACTTGAACAATGATGGATCTGGACCAAACATGGCACGATTACTGAATATGCTCAAATGTGAGCACTGGTGGAGTTTGGGGGGAATAGACCTTGACATTTGGGTGTTGAAGGTTCAGGGATTTATAGTTCGCCTACAACCAAAGAGCACTCTGAACCCCTCCAATGATAGAATCGGGCCAAACTTCCCACACAGAACCCCTGTGACCAACAGAAAATACTTCCAAAAAGGAAGAGAAAGACAGGCAGAGAGATCTTCAGCCTCCTCTGCTTAAGACTATCCGAAATATGTGTTTTCTGATGGTGTTTGGTGACCCCTCTGACACCCCCTCGTGAACCCCCCAGGGGTCCTGACTCCCAGGTTGAGAAARYCTGGGTTAAACCCTTGTGCRAGRAGGACTGAAAACTGACAGGTCAGAGMRTGGAATCCAGGGAGAGTGRGGATGAGCTCCCTCTGTCAGCTCCAGCTRCCCARGCAGAGACATGAGAGYAGCCTCCCACAAGGATAATAAAACATAAAAACATCCCAGTGTCACCTGGCCAACATCCTTGCAGATGGCCAATTCTCTRGCACCAGAAGKYACTTGCAGTTTCTCAAGTCGCTCCTGACATGAAAAAAGAAAAGAAGAGAAACTGTGACCTCCACCGATGATGGACCTGGACCAAACTTGGCATATAGAAACCCCTGTGACCAACAGAAAATACTTCCAAAAAGGAAGAGAAGGGCAGGCAGAGAGATCTTCAGCCTCCTCTGCTAAAGGGGTTCCTAATACTATCAGAAATATGTATTTTCTGATGGTGTTTGACGACCCCTCTGACACTACCACTTGATCCCCCCGGGGTCTCGACCCACAGGTTGGGAAACATTGTGTTAGGGGTACTTTGATTATTTTTTTCCTGCATGGCAGGGGGTTGGGCTAGATGGCCCATGCTTTTTCCCAACTATGTTTCCTCTTCTAACTATGATTCTGTGGTACCGTTGGCACTGCTTCGTGCTTGCTTTCTCCCTTCTCCAGTTCTGTGAAGACCTACCTCTGTGGAAACTTTCTGGAAACATTGGGCAAGCTCTCTTTGTGGCCCTTTCCTTCCTTCATCCATTCCCCTCATACACATGTCACCTTTCTGCCCTCATCTTCAGCTGTCCTACAAAGCACCGCTGCTCACCTTATCCTGATCCTGCTCTTCATCCTTGCAGAAGACGAACTCGCGCCCGTCCTGGCTGTAGGCCACTTTATAAGCCCGGACATACTCTGCTCGGCCTGCACGGCGCGCCCCTTGCGTGGCAATCCCAGACAACCTCATTTTCCTCAGCAGGTTTGCCTGGAATGGAGAAAGACAAACCCCAAAGGAGAACACAATAAGCCAAACTGACTAGATGGCCAACAACTTTGACTAGATGGCCAACAAACCGCATTGAGTCACCTAACCGGGCTGAAAAATGCGGCATAGAAATAAAGCAAATAAATAAATAAATAAACTTTCCGCTCTCCTTGGATTCAACATTAAGCTACATGTCTTTCGTTTGCTGCCTCTTCCTAGCAACATAAATTGGGATTCACAGAAAGAAGATGGATCATGGGACGTGCTGTTTTCCCATCCCTCTTTATCACCCAATTAAAGTTCTGTCACCACCATCATTCCTACCCCATAAATAGGAAATCTAATAAATCTGATTTCGCTCTTGGTGGCAGGACAGAATCCTCCGACACAATTGAGGGGAGGAAACAGTCCCAGGAGCATAGAATAACTAATTCCTTAAACACTACGCCACCACTTCCCATCAACCATGCATCCCTTGTTATGCATATTACCGTATATACTCCAGTATAAGCCGACTCGAAAATAAGCCGAGGCACCTAATTTTGCCACAAAATTGATTGACTCAAGTATAAGCCGAGAAACCAATACAATTGCATTAACTGAAGCATCTGTAGGTTAAATGTTTTTCAATATTTACATAAAATTTTAATTTAAAATAAGACTGTCCAACTCTGATTATTCGGATCTTCTTCAATGAAAATGTGCCTACGTATTAGGGCTGGGCGGTTTCGTTTCGTTAATTCGTAATTCGTTAAAAATTCGTTTTTTTTTTTTTTTGGTTAACGAAGCGATAACGAACCATTCTGGAGCAGCTTAAAAACGAAACGAATTTTTCAATTCGTTTCATAAATGCTTCGTATTTCGTTATGTGTTCGTTTCGTTATTGGTTTGAGGTCGTTTCGTTATTATTTCCGCATGTCTGGGGCAAGTTTTATAGTTGTTTTTTGTTTAATTAGTGAAAAAAAATTATAATATCACACCAACAGTCAACAACAGAGGGAGAGGGAAGCTTCAGAAGTTTCCCCCTGTCCCATTTGGAGGTTTTTTAGCGTACTGCGCGGTCACGTCCACCATTAACGAATCGATTCGTTATTGTTTCGTTATTGTTTTGTAATTTTTTTTACCATTTACGAAATTTCGTAAATATCGAACTTTTTTTTTTTAAAAAATTCGGAATTCTTTTAAATATCGAAACGCAAAAAAAACCCCAAAAAACGAATCGATTTTAGAAACAAATTTTTCCGTTGTTACCCAGGCCTACTACGTATCCTTCCAATAATAATAGAGTAAAATAATAAATGTAATAATAATAATAATAATAATGGAAATGTAATAATAGCAGTAATAATAATGTAAAATAATAAATGTAATAATAATAATAATAATAATAAATAGAGTGAAATAATAAATGTAATAATAACACTTATAAGGTCAAATAATAATGTAATACCTTGGCCTATACTTAAAAACAATCGGTGCTGACAAAATTTCCATCTGTCAGCTACAAAAGGCTTCCCTATTGGGATCTGCGTGCATTATTTGCCGAAACATTACATAGTCCTAGACACCTGGGAAGTGTCCGACATGTGATCCAATACAACAGCCAGTATAAGGATCTTGTTTGCTGTGTACTTATCTTGTTGTGTCTCAATTAATAATAATAAAGTAAAATAATAAATGTAATAAAAAAATAATAAATAACTTTCACTCGAGTATAAGCCAAAGGGGACTTTTTCTGCGTAAAAAAGGGGCTAAAAATTAGGCTTGAGTATATACAGCAAAAATATTAAAATAAATAAATAAACAACCCTGAATGTAGGATTTGTTGAATTGTTTTGATCTCAAATCAGGATTTGTTAGCACAGACTTCTTTGTTGCAAAGTAATGTATCTGTTAGGGCTGGGCAGTTTCGTTTCGTTAATTCGTAAATAATTCGTTAATTTTTTCAATTACAAAACGATAACGAACCATTCTGGAGCAATTATTTAAAAAAAACGAATTTTCAAAAACGTTTTGTAAATGCTTCGTATTTCGATATTGTATTCGTTTCGTTATTGTTTTGAGGTCGTTTCGTTATTATTTCCACATGTCTGGGCCAGTTTTATGGTTTAATTAGTGAAAAAAAATTAAAATATCACACCAACAGTCAACAACAGAGGGAGAGGGAAGCTTCAGAAGGTTTTGGAGGTTTTTTAGCGTATTTCGCGGTCGCGTCCGCCATTAACGAATCGATTCGTTATTGTTTCGGAAATCTATTCGTTAATTTTTTACCATTTATGAAATTTTGTAAATATTGAACTTTTTAAAAGGAAAATTTTGTAATTATTTTAAATATCGAAACAAAAAAAAAAACCCAAATACAAATCGATTTTAGAAACAAATTTTTCCGTTGTTACCCAGGCCTAGTATCTGTGCCATGTTGCATTATACATTGTAGAAGTCTTCATTATAGAGGACTGCATTTTAACTTTGTGTATCATGTTGTACATCTTCTAATAGTTTTTTATCTCTTGTTTTCATGAGTTTGTATCCCACTTCAAGCCACAGGGAAAGGTGGGTAATACAGGCATTATTATTATTATTATTATTATTATTATTATTATTATTTGAAACACAACAAGATGAGTACACAGCAAACAAGATCACTCTGCTGGCTGTTGTATTGGATCACACGTCGGACACTTCCCAAGTGTCTAGGACTGTGTGATGTATTGGCGAATAATGTGTGCAGATCCCAGTAAGGTGGCCTTATGTAGCTGGCAGATGGTAATCTTGTCAGCAACTGTTGTGTTTAAGTGCAGGCCAAGGTCTTTAGGCACTGCACCCAGTGTGCCGATCACCACTGGGACCATTGCATTTGTGGCACAGGGGAAATAGAAGACCTAACACACTATTTGCTACGTTGCCCCTTGTACAATGACCCTAGGAAAAATCTCCTAGGATCACTCTTGGAAGAAAGGGCATCATGGCAACAATCTGCGGTGATCTGCGACTTGCTAGCAGATCATTCTAAAAATATAACACTAAAGGTTGCCACATTCGCAGCCCAAAAGATCAGAGCCAAAGCAGCAAAATCCATACTGGGGGTCAGAAATGGGAACGGTTTGGATTGACACAAAGCAGACACTGTCATTGTCATGTCTCTGCTTTCATAATTTTAAAGAACTTGTTTTAGTTTTAATTCTTGTTACGTTTTAAGGTTTATATTGGAAAGTGTTTATAAAGTTAGTGTATTACTGATATCATGGCCTATGGCTAGTACAATAAACCATTCATTCATTCACTGGGACCACCTGTGCCAGAGTCTTTGCATTATTATTATTATTATTATTATTATTATTATTATTATTATTATTTGTAATACAAGATGAGTCCACAGCAGACATTCTGCTGGCTGTTGAATTGGATCACACGTCAGACACTTCCCAAGTGTCTAGGACTGTATGATGTATCAGCGAATAATGCGTGCAGATCCCAGCAAGGTGGCCTTCTGCAGCTGGCAGGTGGTAATTTTGTCAGCAACTATTATTATTATTATTATTATTATTATTATTATTATTATTATTATGTCAATGCCAATTGTGTTTAAGTGCAGGCCAAGGTCTTTAGGCACTGCGCCCAGTGTGCRGATCACCACTGYGACSACCTTTACTGGKTTGTGCCAYAGTRTTTCCAGTTRGATCTTTCAATCRTCATATTGTYTAAGCTGCATTGRGGGTGGCTTAATTAACTCCTGGAAACCACAGCCTTAACTTTGCAAGACCTGAGCAGAGTCCAGAACCTTGGTGATGATGTCTCATTCGTATGTAGAGTTGTCAGCGCCAATTGCGTTTAAGCATTATATGTGTCGCTTTTAAAGCAAGTACTGAGAGCCAATGCAGCCTAGTGGTTTGAGCACTCAATGACATTATTATTATTATTATTATTATTATTATTATTATTATTATTATTATGACACAAAAGCGCAGTATGTCACATTATTATTAATATTATTATCTATTATCTATCTATTATTATTATTATTATTATTATTATTATTATTATTTGAAACACAACAAGATGAGTCCACCGCAGACACTCTGCTGGCTGTTGTATTGGATCACACATCAGACACTTCCCAAGTGTCTAGGACTGTGTGATGTATCGGCGAATAATGCGTGCAGATCCCAGTAAGGTGGCCTTTTCCAACTGGCAGATGGTAATTTTGTCAGTGCCGATTGTGTTTAAGTGCAGGCCAAGGTCTTTAGGCACTGCACCCTGTGTGCCGATATTATTATTACTATTATTGTTGTTGTTGTTGTTGTTGTTATCACCAGAAACAACTGTCTCACACTGCCTTTGATCACGGCCAGATCTTTTAGGTAGGTAATGAAGATCAAAAGCACCCATCACATTCTCTGCATTGCAGAGGACAATACATAGAGATGGTGAGCTGTCACTGTGCACATTCTCTAAAAGCGAAATGGAGGAAGCAGCCAGCATACCATCTCCTTGCTTGATTTATTGCAGTTCTTAGACCCCACTTTGGACTCAATCCTCCTCAGTAAATGGATACCTGAATCCAAGGGCTGCGGTCATAGTTGCTGGAGGTCCAGGCATTCACAATCCCTTTGTTGTTGAGGCGAGCCAGCTCCGGACCCCAGCGCTGGAGGCCAAGGAAACCAAAATGCACCGAAGACGACGTGAGCTGGGAGTTGGCGATGGCTCCCGTCTCCATTCCCAGGATGTCTCCGCAGCCTGAAATGGGTCATTAGGGGTGGAGGGAGAGAGAAGAATGCCGGATGAAGATGAAGGGAGGCAAAAGGCCACAGTGGGAGGAAAAGAAATATTGGGGCAGGATTAAGACTTAGACAATCTGCGCAAATGAAGAGTATGGAAGCTATGGCAGTAGAAAAAGAAAGAGTCATGGCACATTGGTAGCAAATGTTAGCTACCCGTATTGTTACTTGCCATCCCTCCAATGAGGGCTGCTGTCTGTCTATCTCTGCCACCAATCTGAGAAGATAATATAATAATAACAATAATAAACCTTTATTTATACCCCGCTAACATCTCCCGAAGGACTCGGTGCGGCTTACAAGAGGCCGAGGCCCAACACATCAATAAAACAACAGCATAACAAATACAACATTAAATAAACTCATAAAACAAGCAATAAACATTAAAACAATAGCAATAAACATTCGACAATAACACCATGACACATTTAAAACTAAGCCCGGGCCAAACGTAATGATTAAAATTTTAAAATGCTGAACATGACAGGTGAGATTGATAGGTTTTTGGAGATAAGTGCGGTGTGCAGACAATCTTAATCTCTAGTAAAGTGCAATTGGGACATGATGCTAAGAGTTTCCTATTCTGGGAAGGCACACTGCAACAACCACGTCTTCAAGCTCTTCCTAAAGACTGCCAATGTTGGGGCTTGTCCGATGTCCTTGGGGAGAGAGTTCCAGAGTCGGGGGGCCACCATGGAGAAGGCCCTGTCCCTTGTCCCCACCAATCGCGCTTGCAACGCAGGTGGGATTGTGAGCAGGGCCTCTCCAGATGATCGGAGAGATCGTCTGGGTTCATATACGGAGATGCGGTCACACAGGTAGGCGGGTCCCAAACCGTTTAGGGCTTTGTAGGTAAGCACCTGCACCTTGAATTGGGACTGGAAAATGAACAGCAGCCAATGGAGCTCCTTAAACAGGAGGGTTGACCTCTCCCTGTAAGGAGCACCAGTTAACAACCTGGCCGCCGCCCATTGGACCAGTTGGAATTTCTGGACCGCTTTCAAGGGCAGCCCCACATAGAGCGCATTACAGTAGTCCAATCTGGAGATGACTAAGGCATGGACTACCCTGGCCAGATCCGCCTTCACAAGGTACGGTTGCAGTTGGCGCACGAGTCTCAATTGTGCAAAGGCCCTCCCGGCCACCATCGACACCTGAGCCTCAAGCGTAAGTGATGAGTCCAGGAGGACACCCAAACTGCAGACCTGTGACTTCAGGGGGAGTGTAACCCCGCCCAGCATATGGCCTTGAAGCTTCAATGCCTGGCTGGTTGCTGCCTGGGGGAATCCCTTGTTGGGAGGTTTTAGCTGGCCCTGATTGATTCTCGTCTGGAATTCCCCTGTTTTTGAGTGATGCTCCTTATTTACTGTCCTGATTTTAGAGTTTTTTAAATACTGGTAGACAGATTTTGTTCATTTTCAAGGTTTCCTCCTTTCTGTTGCAGTCTCTGTCAGACTACACAGAGAAGCAGTTGAAATCCATAAGTATGTGGACAATTTCAAAATAAAGGATGAACCCATGAATATGAACTAAATCCGGCTACCAGTATTAAAAAAAACTATAAAATCAGGACAGCAACTGAAGAGCAACACCCAAAAAGCAGGGGAATTCCAGACAAGAATAAATCAGAACCAGCTAAAACCTACCAACAAGGGATTTCCCCAGGCAGCAACCAGCCAGTCACTGAAGCTGCAGGGCCATTAAATACTAATCAAGGTGGCCACTTGAAACATTCACATTTGCCACAAACAGACAAGAGTTATTTCTCCCACCCTGGACATTCCACAGATATATGAGGGTTGAATGAAAAGTAATGCCTCCACCTTCGTAACTCAACAGATGGCAGTACTGATATACCGCAGGCACTGGCTTGTTCAGTAGATTCTCCTCCACAGTTCCATTTTGGCAGGAAGCCTTAGCATTGAATGGTTGGGTTGTTAAAGTGCAAAGTATGGAACCCTGCAAGTCAATGTGACTTAAGCAACGTGCGTAATTGAATTCTTGACAGCAGAAGGTGTCACCCCAAAGGAGATTCATCAGAGAATGCAAGCTGTTTATGGTGGTTGTGTTGATGTGAGTACTTTGTATCATTGGGCAAGTAAGTTTAAAGATGTTGAGGTGGGAACATCTGACTTGTGTGACAAACAAAGAGTTGGATGTCCTGTAACAGCAACCACTGAGTTTCACAAGCAAAAGGTTGACAGATTGATTCAGGATGATCGTCGTATCAGTCAGAGAAATTTCAAGCATAATCGGCATTTCACAAGAATGTGTGGGTGTTGATGTGAGTACTGTGTGTCGTTTAGCAAGTAAGTTTAAAGATGTTGAGGTGAAACCTTCTGCTGTAAAGAATTTAATGACTGCACATTGCTTAAGTCGCATTGACCGACCATCTGCGCAGGGTTCCATACTTCGCGCTTTAACAACACAACTGTTCAATGTTAAGGCTTCCCACCAAAATGGAACTGTAGAGGAGAGTCTAGTGAACAAGCCAGTACCTGTCACATACCAGTGCTGCCATCTGTTGAGAAGTTATGAAGGTGGAGGCATTACTTTTCATTCAACCCTCGTATAAAATTCATTTGCCTAGTTTCCAGCAGATCCCTTATCCTCTGGGGATGCCTGCAATAGATGTGGGTAAAATACACTGTTCTACAAATTTTCAGTTTTTCTCAGTTTCGGAATGTGCCGTTTCTTAATAAATTTAACATGCTGAATTCAAATATAATAATTAAATGTGTTCATTGGCTCTGGTTTTTATGCAACAGGTATTTCAATTTTCTCCACAATAGGTAATTCGTTAATATTATGATAATGCGCCTAACCTTACTGCATGTATATAAACCGTTAATATTTACTAAATTTTAGTCAAATTATATTGCCAATAGTTTATACATGAGAAATATTTATTTAATTCATCTATTATTTATGTTTGTGCAGCAAGAAACTCTATTAGTAGGCCGAATGCAGTTGAAAAGTCTGAAAGTTTAAATGTCGCTTTAATCATGACTTGAGTTTCTATCCTGTTTGCTTCTCTTGACTTTTCTTTTGTATTCAAGGAGAGGATTCCCTCTTGCAATGCTCCAGCAGGAGTCTGACAGCATTGACGGAGTCCATTGGCCTTGATCTCGTGCTTTTCCATAGTGCTTTATTGACACACATGCGAGGAGGCAGAACTACAGTCAAAAGAACAATGTCAAACGATGTTTAACGAGACTGTCTCCGTCTTCAACTGACTGACCCTCACCGTTCAAAAGTCTGGCCTTATAGAGGGCTTTCTGGCTTTTGCACACGGCACTAATACTGCGTCATCAAACTTTCTAGAGTATTCTAGAATCTTCCATAGTGTAAGTCGCAACATGCATTTTTTCAACCATACGTGATCACGTGATTGCTTATATCATAAAAACTAGAGCCAATATACATTTTTAAATGTCATTTTCGTTTTCAGCACCCCAAAATCATAAAAGAACAGCTATTTTCAGGCCCGCAACTTTTTCTCCGTTGAACAGTGATATCAGGAGAGAATTATTCTTGAACATGGCCATACAGCCCGGAAAACTTCCAGTGACCCAGTAACATTCCAATTTGGGGGTAAATGAGGTGAAACGATAAAGGGCTTTGAATTCTCAAAAGTGTCGCGCATAATACACAAAACAATACAACACTCTCTTCTGTGTTTGTGCTTGTTTGTTCCTCTTTGCATTAAACAGTCATCTGATCAAAGAGATCTCTTTCATGTTTGCGAATAATAAACAGAAGCAAACACGAATGCCTTCTCTTCCTACTGGGTTTGACTTGTCCCACTAACTGGGATGCTGGAGCAAAACGGTTCGAGAGGGACTCAGTGTCAGGAACAAGTATATTCCACGAGCTTGTGTTTTGCCGTTCCTGCATGACAAACCATGAAAAATGTTGAATAGCTAAAACATGTCCAGAGGAGAGAGAGCAAAATGACCAAAGGTCTGGAATTCAAACCCTATGAAGGGCAGATTAGGGATATGGACATGTTTGGATGGCAGAAAAAAAGGCTGTACGGGGACACGGTAGCTGTTTAAATATTTGAAAGGATGTCACATTGAGGAGTAGCCATGTATAAATATGTGAGAGGAAGCCACAGGGAGGAGGGAGCAAGCTTGTTTTCTGCTTCCCTGGAGACTAGGACACGGAACAATGGCTTCAAACTACAAGAGAGGAGATTCCATCTGAACATGAGGAAGTACTTCCTGACTGTGAGAGCCGTTCAGCAGTGGAACTCTCTGCCCCGGAGTGTGGTGGAGGCTCCTTCTTTGGAAGCTTTTAAACAGAGGCTGGATGGCCATCTGTCGGGGGTGATTTGAATGCAATATTCCTGCTTCTTGGCAGAATGGGGTTGGACTGGATGATGGCCCAGGAGGTCTCTTCCAACTCTTTGATTCTATGATTCTAGGGGGCAAGCTAATTTTCTCCTATTCCAGGGACTAGGATATGGATCAATGGATACAAATCACACAAAACGAGATTCCACTTGAATACTAAGAAGGATTTCCTAATAGTAAGAGCTATTCAACTTGGAATGAACTTTCTCTGTGATCTGCCCTGAGTTCCCTTCGGGGTGAGAAGGGCAGAATATAAATACTGTAAGTCAATACACATATATACTCGAGCATAAGAAGAGTTTTTCAGCCCTTTTTTAGGCTGAAAAAGGCTCTCTCGGCTTATACTCAAGTCTCAAGTCCAAGTTATTTATTATTTTATTCTGTCACTAGCCGTCCCCTGCCACGCGTTGCACTTTGTGTGTGTATATAATCCAAACTTTTTTCTTTTCCACAATCATGATGTCTGGTGTATTGTGTTCCAAAACTTTGTCAGTCTGGATTCGAAAGTCCCACAATATTTTTGCATGTTTATTATTAATACTAGCCGTCCCCTGCCACACGTTGCTGTGGCCCAGTCTGTGTGTATGTGTTTTGTGTCTGTGTATATGGGTGTATATATTTGTGTATATGTGTATATATGTGTGTTTGCATATATATAAGTGGTTTTGTGCATGCGTTGTAATGTATTTTTTTTTTATTTTTGGCTTTTTAAGTCTCTTCTGCTGTGTTTTTCAGCGTTTTTATGGTCACTCGTTGGCCTGATCCATGTATTGTGTCCAAATTTAAATTTTTATTTATATAGATTATTATTATTTGAAACACAACAAGATGAGTCCACAGCAGACAAACAAGGTCACTCTGCTGGTTGTTGTATTGGATCACACGTTGGACATTTCCCAAGTTTCTAGGACTGTGTGATGTATCGGCGAATAATGCATGCAGATCCCAGTAAGGTAGCCTTCTGCAGCTGGCAGATGGTAATTTTGGCAGCGCTGATAGTGTTTAAGTGCAGGCCAAGGTCTTTAGGCGCTGCACCCAGTGTGCCAATCACCACTGGGACCACCTTGACTGGCTTGTGCTAGAGTCTTTGCAGATCGGTCTTTAAATCCTCCTATTGTGTCAGCTTTTCCTGTTGTTTCTCATGATTATTGTTGTTATTGTTGTTGTTGTTTGAAACACAAGGTGAGTCCATAGCAGACAAGATCACTTTCTCTGGCTGTTGTATTAGATCACACATCGGACACTTCCCAATTATCTAGGACTGTGTGATGTATCGGCGAACGATGCGTGCAGATCCCAGTAAGGTGGCCTTCTGCAGCTGGCAGATGGTAATTTTGCCAGCACCAATTGTGTTTAAGTGCAGGCCAAGGTCTTTAGGCACTGCACCCAGTGTGCCAATCACCACTGGGACCACCTTGACTGGCTTCTGCCACAGTCTTTGCAGTTCGATGTTTAAATCCTCATATTGTGTCAGCTTTTCCTGTTGTTTCTCATTATTATTATTATTATTATTATTATTATTATGATTATGATTATGATTATTATTATTATTATTATTATTAGAAACATAACAAGATGAGTCCACAGCAGACACTCTGCTGGCTGTTGAATTGGATCACACGTCCGACACTTCCCAAGTGTGATGTATTGGCGAATGATGCATGCAGATCCCAGTAAGGTGAGCTTTTGCAGCTGGCAGAGGGTTATCTATTGTTGTTGTTGTTGTTGTTGTTGTTGTTGTTGTTGTTGTTATTATTATTATTATTATTATTTTCCTGACACAAAAACACAGTATGTCACAGCAAATGAGATATATATGCTGGATTTCTGGTTTCTCTTCAGATTGTATATATGCTGGATTTCGTATCACAAAGTCACAAGTCAAACACTTCCCAAGAGTCTAGGGCATGCAGATCCAAGTCAGGTGGCCTTCTGCAGTTGACAGATCGTGATTTTGTCAATGTTTATTGTTTCCAAATGCCGGCTGAGATCTTTTGGCATGGCACCCAGTGTGCCCATGATTACCAGTGGGACCACCTGTACCGGTTTATGCCTTTGCAGTTCGATTTTGAGGTCCTGATAATGGCTGAGTTTTTCCTGTTGTTTTTCCTCAATGCGGCTGTCACCTGGAATGGTGACATCAATAATCCAGACTTTTTTCTTTTCCACAATCATGATGTCTGCTGTATTGTGTTCCAAAACTTTGTCAGTCTGGATTCAAAAGTCCCACAATATTTTTATATTTTATTATTATTTTTTTTTATTATTACTAGCCGTCCCCTGCCACGCGTTGCTGTGGCCTAGTCTGTGTATATGTGTTTTGTGTCTATATATATGTGTATATGGGTGTATATATTTGTGTATATCTGTATATATGTGTGTGTGTGTGTGTGTTTGCATATATGTGTGGTTTTGCAAATGCATTGTAATTTATTTTATTTTTTTGCTTTTTAAGTCTCTTCCTCTGTGTTTTTATGAGTGATGGTCACTCATTGGCCGGAAAGGTGTATTGTGTCCAAATTTGGTGTCGATTTGTCCAGTGGTTTTTGAATTATGTTAATTCCACAAATGAACATTACATTTTTATTTATATAGATTCTATTACTCTATTATTATTATTATTATATATTTATTATTCTATTATTCTATGTTGTTGTTGTTGTTGTTGTTGTTATATTTAGGACCCTCTGTGCATGCTCAGGAACTGTAGCCTAGCTTTGCAGTGCTGGATTTCTAATTATTATTATTATTATTTTAATGTATTTTTAATTTTTTGCTTTTTAAGTCCCTTCTGCTGTGTTTTTCCGTGTTTTATGAGTGATGGTCACTCTTTGGCCTGATAGGTGTCTTGTATCCAAATTTGGTGGCAGGTCATCCAGTGGATTTTGAGTTATGTTAATCCCACAAACGAACATTACATTTTTATTTATATAGATTATTATTATTATAATTATTATTATTGTTGTTGTTGTTGTTGTTGTTATGGTTCCTTCCAGTGTTACACTTCTATGATCTAACTTTGTAAGTTAAGTTCATAACTTCCCTCCAAAAGTCTCAGTTCTTGTGGATGTTTTTGGGCTATATGGCCATGTTCTAGAGGCATTTCTCCTGACGTTTCGCCTGCATCTATGGCAAGCTTCCTCAGAGGTGAGGTCAGACCTCACCTCTGAGGAAGCTTGCCATAGATGCAGGCGAAACGTCAGGAGAAATGCCTCTAGAACATGGCCATATAGCCCGAAAAAACCCACAAGAACTGAGTGATTCCGGCCATGAAAGCCTTCGACAATAGATTTCCCTCCAAAAGTTAATAAAATAACGTTTTTTGGTCAACAACTCTCCAAATTTTAATTCCAAGAGTTGTCACCCAAAACTATCAATTAGAATCATAGAATCATAGAATCCTAGAATTGGAAGAGACCTCCTGGGCCATCATCCAGTCCAACCCCATTCTGCCAAGAAGCAGGAATATTGCATTCAAAGCACCCCTGACAGATGGCCATCCAGCCTCTGTTTACAAGCTTCCAAAGAAGGAGCCTCCACCACACTCTGGGGCAGAGAGTTCCACTGCTGAATGGCTCTCACAGTCAGGAAGTTCTTCCTCATGTTCAGATGGAACCTCCTCTCTTGTAGTTTCAAGCCATTCCTCCATTGCGTCCTAGTCTCCAGGGAAGCAGAAAACAAGCTTGCTCCCTCCTCCCTGTGGTTTCCTCTCACATATTTATACATGGCCCTCATCATGTCTCCTCACAGCCTTCTCTTCTCCAGGCTAAACATGCCCAGCTCCTTAAGCCGCTCCTCATAGGGCTTGTTCTCCAGACCCTTGATCATTTGAGTCGCCCTCCTCTGGACACATTCCAGCTTATCAATATATCTCTTGAATTGTGGTGCCCAGAATTGGACACAATATTCCAGGTGTGGTCTAACCAAAGCAGAATAGAGCATGGGGAACATGACTTCCCTAGATCTAGACACTAGGCTCCTATTGATGCAGGACAAAATCCCATTGGGTTTTTTTGCTGCCACATCACATTCCTGGCTCATGTTTAACTTGTTGTCCACGAGGACTCCAAGATCTTTTTCACTTATCAATTTTTCAATTATCCAAACTCTTCCTCTGAACCAATCTCTGTGGTCAGCCAGGGACTTACGGATATGGCAGGTCTTCCCAAGGTAGGGCGAAGTACATTTGCAGGCATAGTCGCCACTTAGATCCAGGCAGATGCCTCCATTCTTACAGGGCTGCGATGCACATTCGTTCATATCTGCAGACAAAAGAAAGACAAACCAGCACTGACATTTTAAATGCACTGAAATGTCAGTGCATTTAAAATGCTAAATCTCAGTTATTAGATTTCCTCATACTGAAAATAAAAGGGAATTTATTCTTTAGCTAAGCACAAGAGATGACATCACATAATTTGCAATATGAGCCTTATGTGGATGGGTGGAACACCTCTTTCAGGCCAAGGTCCGAGGGAATTTTACACAATCCTTATAATTCTCAGAAGAGAACAAAAGGCGGAGAGTGAGAATGCTGGCATATTGTAACTTAAAACTCTTATTAATTGGAGCTATGTCGTAGGAGAGGCAAATCAAATGGATAAATCCTAAAGACAGCAGAGAAAAGTAGAAGCTGTCATGAGGATAGGAAAATCATGTTTAATTTCTAAACGGGGCGTTGCAAAGCTTAAGAGAAAGCCAATGATCTTACTTTACTTATCCCGTGGGATGAAGTACTGGGAAAGAGGGGAGGGAAAGGGGTAAGATCGTTCCCTCCACTTTTCCAGAGGTTAGCCAGAAGAGATAAGGAATTATTTTTAAATAAGCAATGCATGGAAGTGGAAGAAGACAACAGAATAGGAAGGACAAGAGACCTCTTCCAGAAAATTAGAAACATTGGAGGTAAATTTCAGGCAAAAATTGGTATGATAAGAAACAAAGATGGCAGGGACCTAACAGAAGCTTAAGAGATCAAGAGAAAGTGGCGAGACTATACAGAAGATCTGTATAGGAAGGATAATAATATTGAGGATAGTTTTGACGGTGTGGTGAATGAATTAGAACCAGACATCCTGAGGAGTGAGGTTGAATGGGCCTTAAGAAGCATTGCTAACAACAAGGCAGCAGGAGACGACGGGATCCCAGCTGAACTGTTTAAAATCTTAAAAGATGATGCTGTCAAGGTGATGCATGCCATATGCCAGCAAATATGGAAAACACAAGAATGGCCATCAGACTGGAAAAAATCAACTTATATCCCCATACCAAAAAAGGGAAATGCGAAAGACTGCTCAAACTTCCGTACAGTGGCCCTTATTTCACATGCCAGTAAGGTAATGCTCAAGATCCTGCAAGGAAGTCTCCAGCAATACATGGAGCGAGAGTTGCCAGATGTTCAAGCTGGGTTTAGAAAAGGCAGAGGAACGAGAGACCAAATTGCCAATATCCGCTGGATAATGGAGAAAGGCAGGGAGTTTCAGAAAAACATCTACTTCTGCTTCATTGACTATTCTAAAGCCTTTGACTGTGTGGATCATAATAAATTGTGGCAAGTTCTTAGTGGGATGGGCATCCCAAGCCACCTTCCCTCTCTCCTGAGGAATCTGTACAAGGACCAAGTAGCAACAGTCAGAACTGACCACGGAACAACAGACTGGTTCAAGATTGGGAAAGGCGTACGGCAAGGCTGCATCCTCTCACCCAACCTTTTTAACTTGTATGCAGAACACATCATGCGATGTGCGGGGCTTGATGAATGCAAAACTGGGGTGAAAATTGCTGGAAGAAACATTAACAACCTCAGATATGCAGATGACACCACTCTGATGGCCGAAAGCGAGGAGGAGCTGAGGAGCCTTCTAATCAAGGTGAAAGAAGAAAGCGCAAAAGCCGGGTTGCAGCTAAACGTCAAAAAAACCAAGATTATGGCAACAAGAATGATTGACAACTGGAAAATAGAGGGAGAAACCGTGGAGGCCGTGACAGACTTTGTATTTCTAGGTGCAAAGATTACTGCAGATGCAGACTGTGGCCAGGAAATCAGAAGACGCTTACGTCTTGGGAGGAGAGCAATGTCCAATCTCGATAAAATAGTAAAGAGTAGAGACATCACACTGGCAACAAAGATCCGCCTAGTCAAAGCCATGGTATTCCCTGTAGTAACCTACGGATGTGAGAGCTGGACCTTAGGGAAGGCTGAGCGAAGGAAGATCGATGCTTTTGAGCTGTGCTGTTGGAGGAAAGTGCTGAGAGTGCCTTGGACTGCGAGAAGATCCAACCAGTCCATCCTCCAGGAAATAAAGCCCGACTGTTCACTGGAGGGAAAGATACTAGAGACAAAGTTGAAGTACTTTGGCCACATCATGAGGAGACAGGAAAGCCTAGAGAAGACAATTATGCTGGGGAAAGTGGAAGGCAAAAGGAAGAGGGGCCGACCAAGGGCAAGATGGATGGATGGCATCCTTGAAGTGACTGGACTGACCTTGAAGGAGCTGGGGGTGGTGACGGCCGACAGGGAGCTCTGGCGTAGGCTGGTCCATGAGGTCACGAAGAGTCGGAGACGACTGAACGAATGAACAACAACAACAACATAGCCCAATATTGTCTCATTGTTCTGTTGCGCGCTGGGTCTGTAAAGAATTTCCTTTAAGACAGGACGTGTAACCTTTGCCAAGCGGGAAGCCCAAGGAGAAGTTCTCAGAGGTTTTCCACCAGAAATGACCTTTGGATGGCTTGTGAAGTATAACAAAGTATTTTATTGAGGAACAATCAAACAGAAACTTCTCTTGTCTTCAATAAAGCTAAACAAATGCTTCCAGGCTTTATGCAACTGGTAACTTCCTAATCTTGCCCACGAAGGACAGGCAACTATACTAACTTCTTCTTTACTTTAAATGGAAAATCCCCTTTTTAACTTCTCCCAGGCTGACTGTAATCTAACCCTTACTGATGTGGGCTCTGCTACCGGGTCAAACTGCATCTCGAAGCACCGAGTGGACCTACCAGTAAAGGCTTAGATATTCTCCAGCTGGAGTTCTTTGGTCTTTAGGGCTGTTTTCCTGGAAATCTTTGGAGACTCTTAAGACTGTTTTCCCCCGGAAAGTCTTAAGGGTTGAAGCTTTTGTACAGGGGAAGCTTGCACACGTCCTGTACATTAGCTTTCCTTGCTGAGACTAACTAAAAATGGCTCCCTTCCCTTCCCAATTGCCCTGAGCAAGGGGCAGGACCAAAACTGAATGATGATGGACAGGTTCCCAGTTGTTGCCTGTTAGAAATGGGATACTGTTGGCCAATGGTTGCAATACTTTGGTAGTCCAAGAACGGGAAGGGCTGTTCTTCTATACCCAGAGTCATTGTTCTCAACAACATCCAACACTCACTCTTCTGGCAAAGTTTGCCATCATAGCCTTCGGGGCACTTGCAGGTATATTCCGTGAAGACATCCCCTCGGTTGGGAACCAGCTCACAAACTCCTCCATTCTGGCAAGGATTGGGGTGGCAGGGGCCTGCGGAGATGTCAGAACAGGACAATTAAATATTTCATAATCATACAACATGTAGAAAAGGTAACGTTAAATTCACCCAACATGAAGACATAAAGGCATACACATACACACACATGGTGTGAATTCCCATTCAAGCATGTCTCTTAATCCAACATAAAACTGGCAGATGTGGCTCATGGTATTGGCATCCTTTTCCAAGAAAGCTTGGGTGTTATTAATTCAGATTAGCAGAAGCAATGCCTAATCTGAACCTAACTTGACCCAGAAAGCACCAAAAAGAAGGCAAAAGATGACCTCCACGTGTTCTAGAACAGCGTTTCTCAACCTGGGGTCAGGACTCCTGGGAGGGTCGTGAGGGGGTGTCAGAGAGGTCGCCAAAGACCATAAGAAAACACAGTATTTCCTATTGGTCATGGGGATTCTGTGTGGGAAGTTTGGCCCAATTCTGTAGTTGGTGGGGTTCAGAATGCTCTGTGATTGTAGGTGAACTATAAATCCCAGCAACTACAACTCCCAAATGTCAAGGTCTATTTCCCACAAACTCCACCAGTGTTCACGTTTGGGCATATTGGGTATCCGTGCCAAATTTGGTCCAGATTCATCATCTACTTGAGTCCACAGTGCTCTCTGGATATAGGTGAACTACAACTCCAAAACTCAAGATCAATGCCTACCAAACCCTTCCAGTATTTTCTGTTGGTCATGTGAGTTGTGTGTGCCAAATTTGGTTCAATTCCATTGCTGATGGAGTTCAGAATGCTCTTTGATTGTAGGTGAACTACAAATCCCAGTGACTACAACTCCCAAAGGACAAAATCAATCCCCTCCAACCTCCCCCCCCCCTTTCAGTACTAAAATTTGGGTGTATTGGGTATTTGTGCTAAATTTGGTCTAATGAATGGAAATACATCCTGCATATCAGATATTTACATTATAATTCATAATAATAGCAAAATTACAGTTGAGAAGTGGCAACAAAATTACTTTTATGATTGGGGTCACCAAAACAGGAGGAAACTGTATTAAGGGGTTGTGGCATTAGGAAAGTTGAGAACCACTGTCTAGAAGGAACAGAGAGATGACTAGGGGCAAAATTACTCATCTATCATTACTTTAAGGAATTTGTGACTATCTAAAGTCCTCCAGAAGGAGCCACTTGCTCAGCCCCAAAGTAGGTCATGTAGCACTTCCCATGCATCTGGGATTTTATATGTGTGTGTTTAGGTAAAGGTAAAGGTTTTCCCCTGACATTAAATCCATTCGTGTCCAACTCTGGGGATTGGAGCTCATCACCATTTCTAAGCCGAAGAGCTGGCGCTGTCCTTAGACACCTCCAAGGTCATGTGGCTGACATGACTGCATGGAGTGCCGTTACCTTCCCACCGGAGCAGTACTTATTGATCTACTCGCATTTGCATCTTTTCAAACTGCTAGGTTAGCAGAAGCTGGGGCTAACAGTGGGAGCTCACCCCACTCCCTGGATTTGAACCGGTGACCTTTCGGTCAGCAAGTTCAGCAGCTCAGTGCTTTAACCCATTGCACCACTAGGGGGGCCAATAAATAAATAAAGTATATTATTATAATATTTTTATTATTTTTCAGCTGCACCAGTCCTGATTAATTACTTAATAAAAAATTGAGTTGATGCATAAGAAGCAACATATAGGAAATTAGCTGGAGCTAACAGTGGGAGCTCACCCCACTCCCTGGATTTGAACCGGTGACCTTTCGGTCAGCAAGTTCAGCAGCTCAGCAGTTTAACCCACTGTGCCACCAGGGGTTATATCTATGTGTGTGTGTGTGTGTGTGTGTGTGTGTGTGTGTGTATACGTACTATCCGTCCACTGCCATGCGCTGCTGTGGTCCAATCTGTGCATATGTGTTTTGTGTGTGTATATATGTGTACATATGTCTTTGCATATATATGTGGTTTTGTGCATGTGTTGTAATGTATTTTTTTGTTTTTTGGCTTTTTCAGTCCCTTCCTCTGTGTTTTTCCGTGCTTTTATGAGTGATGGTCACTCATTGGCCTGAGAGGTGTCTTGTGTCCAAATTTGGTGCCAATTCGTCCAGTGGTTTCTAAGTTATGCTAATCCCACAAGCAAACATCACATTTTTATTTATACAGATATATAGGTTTAGATTTTCCAAATGCTAAAATAATCTCAGTGAGGAAAACTCTTGGGATAGAAAGACTCCCTCCCACAGACCCAAAAAGCCCAATCAATGGCAAAATCAACTGTTTTAGTGAAGCTGGGACTGACTGCAAGTGTGTGTCCTCACACCCTACTGATATAACAAAACCAGACTAGTATAAAACAATCACATTCTTCTGACTCCACCCAAAATTGCAACTGACTCCAACCCCACAACTCCAAATCAGGCCCCACTGCCCTGAAGGAAAGATAAGGGAAGAACACAATAAAGAGAAGGGTAATAGAAACCAACCTTTCTCAGTCTCGTTGCAAGTGATCCCACTGAATCCTTCTGCACAGATGCAGAAGAAAGGAGAGTCGTCGATACCGGTGAGGCAGGTCCCGCCATTCAGACATTGATTCACAACACAGGAATCACCTGGAAAACCAAGGGCACATGTCAACATGGCCAACACTTACAAAAAGGGTGAATAGTCCTGTCTCTTCTCATAGAATCATAGAATCCAAGAGTTGGAAGAGACTTCCTGGGCAATCATCCAGTCCAACCCCATTCTGCCAAGAAGCAGGAATATTGCATTCAAATCACCCCTGACAGATGGCCATCCAGCCTCTGTTTAAAAGCTTCCAAAGAAGGAGCCTCCACCACACTCCGGGGCAGAGAGTTCCACTGCTGAACGGAGTTCAGGAAGTTCTTCCTCGTGTTCAGATGGAATCTCCTCTCTTGTAGTTTGAAGCCATTGTTCCATTGCGTCCTAGTCTCCAGGGCAGCAGAAAACAAGCTTGCTCCCTCCTCCTCCCTGTGGCTCCCTCTCACATATTTATCCATGGCTATCATGCCTCCTCTCAGCCTTCTCTTCTTCAGGCTAAACATGCCCAGCTCCTTAAGCCGCTCCTCATAGGGCTTGTTCTCCAGACCCTTGATCATTTTAGTCGCCCTCCTCTGGACACATTCCAGCTTGTCAATATCTCTCTTGAATTGTGGTGTCCAGAATTGGACACAATATTCCAGGTGTCCAATATTCCATCTCTTTCTTAGATAGAAGGACAGAGGAGGTCAGAATATTATTATCTAACCCAACATCCTTCTTCTGAGGGTATGTCCCACACCGGCATGTCCCACACTGGTGAAGTTGTAGAAAACTCACTTGCAGGATCTGGGAAGAGTGGTAGAATGCATGAATCACAAAATTACAGAATCACACAACTAGAAGAGGCCATCAAGGCCATTTAGTCCAAACACGCAGTAAAAGATGCCCACCCAAGCTCTTTTTAATGACCTTCAAAGGAGGAGAGTCCACTGCTTTCCAAGGCAGTCCATTTCACTTACAAGTTTTGACCAGCCTTTCCTACCCAGAACCCTCTAAACATAACTTGCATAACCTGATCTATCCTTTATTTCTAACCCTAGTCCAATGACCTATATTGAAGGCACACAAAGTCTTCCTCTTGATGCCAAAGGACTGGCTTGAAGGCGCTTAAGATTCCTCAACGTCGTCCAGGTGAGCTGGGCATGAAGTATGAACCTTAAGAGTACAAACTTAAGAATTGGTGGTAAGAGATGACTTGACTGAGGGCTTAGAGCCAAGCCTTTCTCGCGTCCATCTGCTGAGTTGTTTGATGGTGGAATGAAAAAGAAAGCACTGCCCTCCTCCCTAGGAAGGGGTGGAGTCAAGCAATTGAGCTGGAGGAGCAATTCATCATCATCATCATCATCATCATCATCATCTTTAATTACTTATTAATCACCCTCCATCCGAGATGCTCCAGGTGATTTACAGAGCAGAAAGCCCTGGACCACCCTACCTGTGTGACCATATCGCTGTCTACGAACCCACATACTCACTCCGGTCATCTGGAGAGGCCCTGCTCGTGATCCCGCCCGCCCGCCCGCGTCGCAAGCGCGCTTGGTGGGGACGCGAGACAGGGCCTTTTCTGTGGTGGCCCCCCGACTCTGGAACGCCCTCCCGAAAGATCTCAGACAGGCCCCTACATTGGCAGTCTTCAGAAAGAATTTGAAAACCTGGCTGTTCCGATGTGCCTTTTCAGATTAGGAACCTCGAGCACCAAATCCTAGAAGCACCTTAGTAGAACCAAGATCACTGCACACCGCACACTGCACTTATATTATAATCCTACATTCCTCCCGCCACTTCAGCACTTTTAATTCTGTATCCCTACTCTGGCCAGCCCAGTTTTTAATAGTGTCTTGTTGTATTGTTACTGTTATTGTTTTCCTGCTTAACTGTTTCTAATTTGCTTTAGGTATTGTATTGTTGTATTGTGTTTTGGGGCTTCGGCCTGTGTAAGCCGCATTGAATCCCTTGGGAGATGCTAGCGGGGTACAAATAAAGTTATAATAATAATAAATAATAATAATAATAATAATAATAAGAAGGAAGTGTCATTATTATTATTTATTATTATTATTATTATTATTATTATTATTATTAAACTTTATTTGTACCCCGCTAGCATCTCCCGAAGGATTCGATGCGGCTTACACAGGCCGAGGCCTCAACACACAACATAACAATACAATCTAAGCAAATCAAACAATTAAAAACAGAATAAAGCAAAATAAACAACAGGCACAATACACTAAAACACAATAAAACTGGGCCGGGCCAGAGCAATGGGTACAAGATTAAAAGTGCTGATGTGACAGGAGGTGTATATAGGGCTTCCAGGGCAAGTGCGATGTGCGATGTGCAGCAATCATTGGTTCTGATAAAGTGCTTATGGGACTTGGTAGTGGAGATTTCCTAATCTGGGAAGGCGCATCGGAAAAGCCAGGTCTTCAAGTTCTTTCTGAAGGCAGCCAATGTAGGGGCCTGTCTAAGGTCTTTGGGGACGATGTTCCAGAGTCGGGGGCCCACCACGGAAAAGGCCCTGTCCCGCGTCCCCACCAAGCGCGCTTGCGACGCCGGTGGGATCACGAGCATACATACATACATACAAATATTAAAATTAACATGGGTCAAATGCTCTAGTAAAAAGCCAGGTCTTAAGTGCTAGGATAAAATGCCCTGAGTCACGCATGGCTCTCAAATAGGGAGGCCATAAGGAATTCCACAAGGCAGGGGCAGAAACAGAGAAGGCCCTGCGTCTGGTGCTTTCCAAGTGCACTTCCCTAGGACCCGGTATATAGAGCAAATGGTGCTGGGATGGTCGTGGCGACCTCCGATGATGGGAGAAGGAGAGACGGTCTCTAAGATACAATGGACATCCCTGGCCATCAGGCCTGTAGCGAGGGGGTGGTTTTAGGGGTTCAACCCCCCCCCCCGAAATGTTTCAGATTTTTTTTAAAAAAACTGGTTTTTAACTGGTTAACCAAATCCCCATGCTAAGTCTATGAGGTGCAAAAAAATTAAGAGTCCCTCCAGAACTGTAAGCACTATCAAGTTGGGTGTGTGTGTGTTGAATGCTCTCATTAAGGAGGCCAGACTTGGTGGAGGTGGTTGACAGGGGTGGAGCTGCAGGCTATTGAAGGTTGCTCTGCCCCATGCTGTGCTCTTTGATTCAGCGTGAGCTAGGAGGCAGGTTTCAACCCCCCCCCCAAATTTTCAACCCTCCCCAAAATTTTCACCCCCCCATTTTCACCCCCCCCCCCCCCCCCCCCCCCGCCCGAAATTGTCAACCCTCCCCGAAATTTTTTTCTGGCTATGGCCCTGCTGGCCATATAAAGTTTTAAAGGTCAGGACCAGCATCTTATACAAACCACGATACTCAATTGGGAGCCAGTGTAGATGCCGCAGCACTGGTGTTATATGGCATTTCATGGGAGTTTTTGTGAGTAACCTGGCTGCAGCATTCTGGACAATACGGAGCTTTCGGGTCATAGAAATAGGAAGGCCAACATACAAGGCGTTACAATAGTCCAGCCTAGATGGATGACTGTTGCCAGAGCCTCATCCAACAGGTAAGGTGCCAGTTGCCTCGCTTGTCATAGATGGAAAAAGGCCTGTTTGCTGGCAGCAGCGACCTGAGCTTCCATAGAAACATAGAATCATAGAATCCTAGAGTTGGAAGAGACCTCCTGGGCCATCCAGTCCAACCCCATTCTGCCAAGAAGCAGGAATATTGCATTCAAAGCACCCCAGACAGATGGCCATCCAGCCTCTGTTTAAAAGCTTCCAAAGAAGGAGCCTCCACCACACTCCGGGGCAGAGAGTTCCACTGCTGAACGGCTCTCACAGTCAGGAAGTTCTTCCTAATGTTCAGATGGAATCTCCTCTCTTGTAGTTTGAAGCCATTGTTCCGTCCTAGTCTCCAAGGAAGCAGAAAACAAGCTTGCTCCCTCCTCCCTGTGGCTTCCTCTCACGTATTTATACACGGCTATCATATCTCCTCTCAGCCTTCTCTTCTTCAGGCTAAACATGCCCAGCTCCTTAAGCCGCTCCTCATAGGGCTTGTTCTCCAGACCCTTGATCATTTTAGTCGCCCTCCTCTGGACACATTCCAGCTTATCAATATCAATTGAACCGATGCAAAACAACACTGATAGACAACTGTAAATAGCCAGACAATTTAACTATATATTTACATACAAATGGGGCCAGACGCGCCGTCACACTTGGAATTGTTATTGTTGTTGTTGTAAAAATCCTGTGGCAGTGAATTCCACAGTTTAGCAATGCACTATTTGCAGAAAAAAGTATTTCTTTTTCTCTGTTGTGAACCTCCCCCTTATCTGGTAGCAGAATAACGAAGAAAACAGTGCCCGCCACAACTACCCATCTTATCTAAATTATCTGGGGAAGGGTTGGGGAGGAATTAACGCATTGGAATGGGCTGTGCAACTTCCATTAGCTTAAGCCTACTCCTCTGAGCATGATTGCTCATGCGTCTTTTTATAGCAGTTAATCTCCCTCGCTGCCACTCCAGAGCAACAAGCCAAGCTGAAACCAGGCCCCAAGCAAGGAGTCCAAAGTGCCTATGAAGGCCTGCAGCCAAGGCTGGGTGGGAGCGACAAAGCTCAGGCAGCGCACCAAGTCACTGCCTGCTTCCCCGGATGGCTCCGCATGAGCTCATCCCCTTATCATGGCGCTGCCAGGGAGGAGAAGGAACGCATGCCCCGAGGAAGCGGAGAAATCTCCTCCTCTCCCCTCAAAAGCTCCAAGGAGCAGGATTGCTGTCAACCCAGATTGCGGTAACACCTTCACTGGGCCAAGCAGAAAAGGCACAGAAGTGTCAATTTCAATCAATGTGCTCTGGAAGACAGTGCGCCTGTGTGCAACACGGTTCCACAAAATTGCAAACTAACAAAAAAGACCTCACTACCTCTGAGGATGCATGCCATAGATGCAGGCGAAACGTCAGGAGAGAATGCCTCTAGAACATGGCCATATAGCCCGAAACAACCTACAACAACCCAGTGATTCCAGCCATGAAAGCCTTCGACAACAGAACCCACAACCT